AAGTAACTATGTTATTTGGTTTATAAGATAGTAAAAGTTTTTTTTTCTTTCCAATATTGAATCGTCTGTTGAGCAGCAATTAAAAACTATTTCAAACATGCACAAGATCTCAACACTGCCACAAGCTTTTGGCTCAATCGTCAAGATTAAGTTGAAGCGAATTTACACAAAACTCAGAAAAATGAACTAATGGGAACCAACGTTTCAGATAGAAATCTAAACCAGTTTAAGTAAAAATGATCCAGAGGATTTTTGTCTCAGATGATCAGAAATCTGAGATATGTTTTCTCTGTCACTGAGCCTCTCTGGGTCGATTTTTATTCAGCTGCCAGCAACAGACGGCTGCTACTAATTTGAATCAGCAGCGGATTACACGGCAGCCGGATCTCTGCCAGAACTCCTGCTGACTGGATGCTGTCCGGTCCTCCTGGAAAGTCCAGTTAGATCTGGCTAATTGATAGGTCCAGCAGAACATTTCATTTTAGAGCTCATTGCTTTATACGTGGGGAACTTTGTCTTATGTTCAAACCTGTTGGAGCCTGAAATGAATGAAAAAGTTCCACATTATGGTGAAATTTTTAAAGAAATATATTTAAAAAACATTTAAAAAAGAAAACTCAGATAAATGTACTTTGGATTTTTTGGTGACAATGATTTGTTTGAGTGAATAAGTTACAATTTTTGCTGATGCATTGAAAATACCTGCATCTCTGATTAAAATACCTGCTTTGTTTTTGTTGTGACAAAATTGAAGCTGGAATTCCACAGGGAACCATTTTAGGCTCCCTGACCTTTTCTACGTTGTATTTTAATGAGGAATTAGAATTCAGTTTGACATTAAAGGGATTCTTCTGTTATTTTTTGTCAAGAGCCAGTTTTTGTTCATTATGATTGATTTGTAAAAGCAATGAAATGTCTACAACAGACATGTTTTATGGGCATTGTAGGTTTGCATACATAACCAGGCAAACTGTTAGGCTTAAATTGAGAGAAAGGAATATTTAATAGTCCTAGGAGTGTGTAAAGCAGCCTACATTCGGGATGATAACGAGACAAAATTTGAATATTTACTTTCAAACAGCTAGAACTGGATTTATAGAAATAAGTTATAAGGCTTGGATGCTCACTCTGTGATTTCCCTTGGAAGATGGCAGCTAATATCGAAGCTAAATGGATCTGTAGGACAGGTTTTCATCCTGCTGCTTCCCGTTCAGCCAAGAAGCTCAAAGGCTGTTTTCTTTATGCAAAAAGCAGCTCTTGCAGCTGGAAGTGGATGACTTGATGAGTAAACGGGAACGTTATATAATCCAACCGGATACAGGCAGTGAGGGGACCTGGATCGCTCCCAGAAACTCACAGAAGTGTCCCTGAAAGGTTCAGATGGAGGTGGAGGCAGCTGATGGATGATGACAGAAAGACGAAAGCTGCCGAGACGATTAAAGACAAATCAAACTGCAGGTTGACATTTTTAGACAGATGAACAGCCTGACAGGGAGATTTTACTCATTTCGTCAAATGAATATTCATCATATAAAGTCATATTCAATATAACAGAATATACGTTCCAATGGGGCCGGTTTGTTGGAATAAACATACTTTTTGAAAATAATCTGAAATGTGAGTCCACATTTCAGAATTTAAATGTTTTCAGCAGAAAATCATAATAATTTGCAGAAATAAAGGCTTGAAAATATCAGTTTGTGATGTTTAACTTTGTGAATATGCTGATTATTTGAATTTGACCAAACTTGAGTTCAGTGCCTTGATTGTTGCTTATAATTTGGTTCTGATGCTTATTAAACCTTCTGCGAACCTGTATAAAACCTTCATGTTTTCCTTTTACGTTCCAGGAAAGCAACATGCTAGTAACTTGTAAACCTGAATTTACTGTAACCTGTAAATCCAGGGAAAGTAATTTATTACTTTTGTTAAAGTATTCTGTATGTTTAATAAATTCTCCTGAAGGATTCAGCAAAATATTTGGTGCATTCTGGGAAGGTAACGTAATGATTCTGGAAAGTACTTTCTCAACGTGAAAGTCATGAAAAAGCAGTTCTTCCATTCTACAGGAGAACTTAAGAGTTCTGGGAAAGAAATTTGTAAATTTTTGGAAAGGAACTTGTCTGTTCCTCAAGGCAACCTGTAAGTTCTGGGAAAGTAACTGACTCATGTTTTGGATCATGATCAATGAAAGTTGAATGTTGCTGCAGGAGTTTCACTTATCTGTACAGCACGGTTGATACACGGTTGATTCTGACACTTTGGCCTGGCGAGTGTAGTGGTGAACAGTAAAAGATCCCACATGGATCGAATTTCATTCAAGCAATCGAAGATCTCAGTCTATCTCCACTTTTTCCTTCAAGAACAATTTGAAGAAAATTTTCTGTGTGAACGACTAAAACGTCTCCATAGGAGAGAACTTCATTTCTGACAGCAGCTTGCTTCGCTAAATGCTCTATAAATATCCAAAGTGTTTTCAGGTTTTAAGACGCTTCTGTCTCAGCCCGCAGCACTTCGGGGTCTCTGAGGACAAAAGTGCAGGAAGCTCCCATCTGCTGCAGGGAAAACGCTGCGACAGCTGACGGCTTGACGCGCCTGCAGACTCCATCTGTCCTCTGCAGCTTCTGACCGAAGAAACGGAAAAGCAAATCCACTTCCCACCGGCTGAAGTTTGTCTTGTTCCGACAGACAACTTATATATTTGGTTTTGATTCCAAGATGTAGCAGCGATACTTTTCTGTTGCTTTGGTGAGATTTATTAAGATTTTCATCTAGTCCGTCTCTTTGACGTTGTGGCCGCCATCTTGCTCAGGTATTAATAGTGAGTGAAGTAACACAACTTGCACGTGAAGAGAGTAGCAGAACAAACTCAGCATGAGATTATCTGAAAAAATTTGGACCCACCCTGCTTTCTGTGTTTGGGCTTTGACTACACTACTTCAACAAATACATTTTATTACACTTTTTCAGAGGTGGACTTTCTGCTAGAGTCCGGAATACATTATTTGGGGATTTATTGCAAGTTGTTGAGGTCCTGAAGCAGCAAAGCAGCCCCAGACCATCATACTGCCACCACCATGTTTGTGTGTTGGTACAGTTGGCCTCTGGCTGTTTGCTGTTTTGTGTTTGTGGATTTTCTGTGGACTGCAAATCCAAATTATTTGCAAAAAAGCTTAAATTAGTAGGTGCAGTGCTATTTAACATTGTATTCGTTGGTTTTGCCAAACCAGCCAATCCAGGACTCCCATTTATTTTCCTTGAAGCTGATTGGCTGTAAACTCAAGAGCAGAGCTAAGGCAGACCAGAGATGTTAGCTTAAAATTTAGCAGTATTTCACCATCTTTCTGTTTATAAGTTGACTTTCTTTAGATTTTTTGTCAGCTGAAATTTAATTAAAAACTGTGTTGGATATATTTTCCTTTATGAAACAAAATCATTTTAAAATTAATATGTATGGTGTCATTTTTTTTCCACATCATGCATTAAGTAGAGGAAGAAAAAGGATAAATCTTTAAAAAACAGATTAAATGAATAAAATTAACTCCGTACAGAATTTAAAACATGCTAAATTCACGCAGTGTTTCTCCAAAGAAGCAAAAAAATGGATTTAAATTAGCAAATCTGTCAGTGTGGAACAAATATTAACATATAGATTTTACCTATGCTCAATTTGTAAGTTTTATAAATTAAACTACAAACTATTTAAGGTGTCCATTTCAGATACAGGAGTGTCTGAAGTAAACAAAATAAAAGGAAGTCTTTTCATATTTAGATGGAGAATCAGGAGTTTTTGTTTGATCTGAAATCGTTAAACCATTTCATGGGATTAGTCCATGAAATGGACAAATGTTATAACATTTCTAAGTATGAATTAAACTATTCATATCAGGACCTGTAGATTTGCTGAAATCTGTTGTTTTTATTTGTTCATACTTCTAATGAGATGTGGTTTCAGTGAGACTTCTCTGTGAAACAGCGGTGAAATGAGTCGCAGTGGAGGAGCACTGCTCATCAACACACTGTCTATGAATAACGGCCGCCACCATTTTAAAGTGATTCAGCAATGGGAGCCGACAGTATCAGATCATGAGACGAACGAAATGTTTGGGTTTATCTCGACTGTCTTCTTCTGGTGCAGAATGATGACGCGTCGGATAAAATGCGACTTGATGGTCCAGACAGCAGACGCGTTTGTTTTTAAATGAAAGGGTTTTAATTGAATCGTTAAGACGGCCATAAAAAAGTTGACTAGATAGGCAAAAAAAAATTATAAATCACTTTCCTGCTGTGTGGACTGAATCGCAAAACAAAATGAACAGCCAATATATAAAGCTATTTAAAATACTGTTTTTTAAATTTCATTTAACACAACATGAGTATCCCTTGACACTATAATTTATATTTATTTTCATTTCTTTTGAGGATCTCATGACCCACATTTGTTATTTAACGTCCCAAAGGGAGGTCTCGGCCCCCACTTTGGGAACCACTGAGCTAACAGAGATTAACTTTTACTCCAGTTTTCTTCCTGCACTTATCCACTAATTAACTCTAACCAGCTGTCCTGTCACTGATCATCCCCACATCATGATGCTGCCCACACCATGCTGCACCACAGTAAGCACAGAGCATCTAATTAGAGTTCCTTCTTCACATTTACTGTCTGCTAAACAAAGATTTATATTAAGTAAACAACTAAAACCTCTCTGTTAATAATCCATTGTGTTTATAAAAGTTGAAAAACTTTTAATGACTTCAATTGAAGTTGTTTATTTTTAATTTGAGGTATTTGAATAAATGGAACCAGTGTTTCAGAAAAATCTGGTTATTTTAACTTGAACTGAATTAATCAATAAGAATTAAATGTTTCTTATTGGTTTGTTATGTATTTAGAGTAAATCAAAATAAATTTTTTTTTTATAAATAAAGAGCAAACGTCCTCAGAGGACCAATAATATTCATCTTGAGTGTGAATAAGAAGATTTCTGTTTAGCACTGACCTGGTTTCAGAGTTGATTTCTCCACGTCCTTTCTGCTCTGTCGTCTCTTCTTGGCTCCTGTTCTTTGTTTTCTGTCCGTTTTCCCTCCCTCGCAAATAAAAAGTTCTTTAATTTAAACAAATCGGACAAAAACAACAAGGCTGAGGTCCACTCTCCGTTAGAAAAAAATTATTTCAGCTCTTCCATAAAACCTGAGTGTCTGCATCTCAAAAATAGACTTTATCTTTCCAAAAAAGAGAAGAAATTAACACCAAATCCAAAAAGCTCCAGCCTGACGTGGGGAATATATACACATCTGCTTGATGTAAACACCAGGACTAAGTGTAGGATGTGATAAAGTATTCCCCCCTCTCTCTTCCTACATTATGTACACAGAGTGTGGTTAATCCTCCGGCATGTTCAGTAATTATCCCGAGTCCTGATTGTCCCTGATTATCCTCTGCTGAGGCCTGATGTCCCATTTCCACTAATTCATCCTGCAGCCCGCAGAGTTCATGTTTTCCTGCAGGTTTAAAGGGCCGCTCTGCTGCATGCATGCACTGATGGATGTGAGAGGAAAGTTTTAGTCAGAACCGAGTTCATGAGTCAGAAGGAGCCCGGACCCGGCGGGGCTACAGGTCCGTCTCCCGCGTGTCTAGACAAAACGCGTAAAGGGATTTCTTGAAGTCCATGCTGCTGTTGGCTTTAATGTTCGCCTTCTCCACCGAAGCGCCGTCGGACTCGTTCTTCTCCACATCCTGAGACTTCACCGACGTCCTGCTGCCTTTGCGCTTCACCTCTGGGCTCTCCGGCCCCCCGCTGGGCTCGTCCTTCAGGCTGGACTGGTCCTGGTCCGTCTCTCGGTGGTAGAAGTAGTTGAAGTTGGAGACAATGACCGGAACCGGCAGCGCGATGGTCAGGACGCCGGCGATGGCGCACAGGGAGCCCACGATCTTCCCCCCGACCGTCACCGGCCGCATGTCGCCGTAGCCCACTGTCGTCATAGTGACCACGGCCCACCAGAAGGCGTCCGGGATGCTGGAGAAATGGGACTCGGGTTCGTCGGCCTCCGCAAAGTACACGGCGCTGGAGAAGAGGATGACCCCGATGAAGAGGAAGAAGATGAGCAGACCCAGCTCCCGCATGCTGGCTTTGAGGGTTTGACCCAGGATCTGCAGCCCCTTAGAGTGCCGCGAGAGTTTGAAGATCCGGAAGACCCGGACCAGGCGGATGACCCTCAGGATGGCCAGCGACATGGCCTGCTGGCCGTTCTGGTGCTCCTGGCCCTGCTGCTCCGCCAGCTCCGTGCCCACCGTGATAAAGTAAGGCATGATGGACATGATGTCGATGATGTTCATGATGGTCTTAGAGAACTCGGACTTGCTCGGGCAGGCGAAGAAGCGCACGATCAGCTCGAAGGTGAACCAGATGACGCAGGTGGTCTCGATGATGAAGAACGGGTCGGTGAAGGTGAGGGACGGCCGGGGCGCGGTGCTGTTGTCCAGCCGGCTGCTGACCGCCAGCTCCCGCTCGTCCCGGAACTCCGGCAGCGTCTCCAGGCAGAAGGTGATGATGGAGATGGTGATAACGATCACGGACACGATGGCAATGCCCCGCGCCGGGCTGGAGCTCTCCGGGTACTCGAAGATGAGCCAGACCTGCTTCTGGAACTCGTTCTGCGGCAGCGGCTTCTCCTCCTCCTTGATGAACCCTTCATCCTCTCGGAACCTCTCCATGGCCTCTTCTCCCAGCTGGTAGAACCGGATCTCATCCGCAAACACATCGATGGAGACGTTCACGGGTCTGCGGATCTTCCCCCCGGACTGGTAGAAGTAGAGGATCCCGTCGAAGCTGGGTCTGTTGCGGTCGAAGAAGTACTCGTTCCGGAGCGGGTCGAAGTACTTGATCCTCTTGGCCGGGTCTCCCAGCAAAGTGTCCGGGAATTGGTTGAGGGTGCCCAGCTGGGTTTCATATCGAAGCCCCGCGATGTTGATGAGGACCCTCTCGTTGCTCTCGGTGTCCATGTCCATGTCCAGCATGTCCTCGTCGAACAGGTGGGGACTGTGGTCCGCGCGTAAAAGCGCATCCATGGCGTTCTCGCTGCAGCTCAGAGTGTTGTTCATGTCGTTGATCTTCCAGGGGCTGCGCTGCTGCTGCTGCTGTTGCTGCTGCTGCTGCTGGGGACTCCCCCGGGTGTTCAGCTCCTTACCGAACTCCTCTCTCAGTCCACTTTGAACAAACCCCGGCTGAGGGACCTCCAGTGCGTTCCGGCAGCTCTCTTCGGCATTGCCGCCGCCTCCTCCGCCGCCGCCGCTCCCCTTAGCGCCGCCGTTCTCAAAACTCACCAAGGCTATCTCCATTCCGCCGCCATCAACGATTAACGGGGGAAAAACAGCGGGGACTTGTTGAGCGGCGGGGCGGACATCCTCCCGCTGAGCCGGTGATGGAGACAGCTGCGCTCTGAATCACAGCCGCGGCTCCGCGACGCAGGCAGGCATGTGTTGCTGCTGCCGCTCCAAGAAGTGCAGAAGAAAGTCAACAGTAAACCCAGAGTAGGAAGAAGACCCGGATGAGACAGTTGGCTGGATAAATGTTCCTGGGCGGTTTAAGCGCTCAGCCGCCGCTGAAAATCTCTCTTTCTCTATTTCTCTCTATTTCTCTCTCTTTCTCTCTCTCTCTCTCTCTCTCTCTCTCTCTCTCTCTCTCTCTCTCTCTCTCTCTCTCTCTCTCTCTCTCTCTCTCTCTCTCTCTGTTGCGCGCACTGACAGTTTTCATGATCCAAGAGTATCCTCCTCCCTTCTTGCAGAATTCATCGCGCGTCTTCTTATTTCTTGGAAATTAACCAGTTTTGAAGTGAAACTGACCGATGATCAGATTAATACAGAACATCCACTGAACAGCACATCGGAAGATTTTCATAGTTCTTTGAATTTGTCCACATTTAAGGGCTTTACAACCACAAGTCAATGATTTATTTGAATATGTACAGAAGAGGATTAGGGCCACCAATAATAATAATAATAATGAAATTATTATTTTGATCTCAGAATTTTGACAACATTTTTAATCTCAGAATGTTCTCATTTTTTCTTCAGAATTTTGACTTCTCATTTTTTGACTATTCTGCTGATATCATGACTTATGATGTTATTACGACTTTTTGCTACCATTTTACCACTTTATTCTCATAATGTTTAAACCTTATTGTAATGCTTTGCAATTTTGTTGTCTGACTGTATTAGGATATTTCAACTTTTTGGTCACATTATAACATCTCTATTCTCATAATACCAAGACTTTTTGTCATATGACTTTATTCTAAGATAAATTACTGGGTTTACTGGTATTTCTCATAATATTTCGACTAATCCAAACCTTTTCCTGTTTCTAGAATACATGTTTCTCCAGTTTGAGTTCAGATAACCTCATCCCATGTGACGGCGTCTAGCGTCTTTCATTCCAGCCTCCTTGTTGCCTTTGTGTCCTCCTCTCTTCTCTGGCGGACAGTTCGGGGCCCGGGGCCACACTCTGCTCTCAGTCCCAATGTTTCTTGTCCTTCTTGCTTTGAAGACCCTCCTCTTTTCTTTACAATTACAAACTGCTTTCATTCTCCAGTGCTCAGCACTCTGGAGCTCATTTAATCAGGACATCCTGCGTTAGGTGTTCCTGCTGCAGCAACTCAATGCATTGAGGCATTTAGATGTTTTGCTAAAGTTCAAGCAATGCATTCTGTAAAAAAATCAGAAACTGCAGATCTGAATAATAAAAGCAAAAGAAATGTTGACGGAAACACAGCTAGTTCAGAAATCGGTTCATTAACCTGCAAATTCTTCTTCTTTTGCTGCTTCGCTCAGGACTTTCCGACTACAAACTAGCAAAGGTGTAGTTTTTCCTCATTTGCTTCATATTTTTAAAAATAAAAACAGAAGTCGGGTTACCCTTTAGCTGAGGCCCACTCTAAATGTACCGCTGGATGTCTGAAATGTATTCTAACCCTTGTAAAGGACACAAACACGCAGACACACGCTGGCAGCTCGTTCAGTTGTCTCTAAAAGCAGAGAAGGTGACCTATTTAAAAGGTTACTTTCTTCGCCCCCTGGCTGGATTAGAAAACAAAGCGCGAGCACTAAATTTATCCTGTTCCTTATCTGATGCTGCAGCCTAATCATGATAAGAAATATGTGCATCTTCCCGCCCCTGGATTAAATGCACTCTCCTCAGACTGCTGCAGCCATGAATAATGAGTCGTCATCACCCATCCATCTCACTGTGTGACTGGCCACTGGCAACGCAGCGATTTCACGCACTGGATACGGCCATTAGGGCGCTTTTACAATAAACTTCATGAAGTTTGTCATGCGGATAACGACAGAGTGGAGCATGTGAAACTGGAGCTTCATGGTTTTTGGCGCAGAAAGATGAAAGGAGACGTTGGTGGAGGAGAAAAAGCCAATTGTCCAACACAGAAACTCGTGTTTCCAGTTTCAGATATGGTATTTTAATCTTGCATTTGTAACCCTCAGGTCCAGTAGGTTGACAGACACATTCACGTTGCCTGTATTTCTAAAAAAACTGGGAGTGAAGTTGGTGGTTAACACCAGCCAGCAGCTTATGCCCTAAATAAAATGCAATAAATAACCCTAAACAACAGACATTTAATAGCAGTTAGCAGCAGCTGACACTTGTAAAATAAAAATAAAAACATTTTTTGGCCCTCAAGTCCTTTTGACTCGATGATTTTGGCCGACATGACAAAAAGTTTGAACATCCCAGTTTTAATTAGAACTCCAGCATTAATCAATCAAATTTATTTGTGAAGCATGTTTCACAGGAAAGTCTGACATGCTCTACATCAGAAAAACACAAAAATAAGCAGTCATAAAAACAGCAGTCACCAACTGAGAAATCAGTCAATTGACATCAACAAAATTATCAATACGCATCCAATATTTTGATTGATGTTCCAGTTCAAAAGCAAATCTAAACATGAGGGTATTTAGCTTTTATTTGAAGGAACTCAGTATTACAGCTGTTTTACAGTTTTCTAGAAGTTTGTCCAGATTTTGGTGGATCTGCAGTAAACTAACGGTATTTTGTGTACCTGTTATTATTAATTAAATTGCCGAAACAAAGTTTACATTTTAATGTTGCAAATTCAGCGTTTAAAATGTACCCATTGTTTGACATGTAGTCAATACTTTAAGGTTTTTTGTTGTTCCTGGGTTCTTTTATTGAGATTTATTTTGGAATAAAAGATGTAAAATTTGCAGCTTCTAATAGAAAACTGACAACATAAACTCCACTCTGGGGAAAAAAAGAACATGAACCTAAACTTTGTTTTTCAGAGAGTTTTATGCAATGAAATAAAATGTTTATTCAGTTTAAAATGAGAAACTAATCAGGGTAAATGTCATCAAAACCTGCAGGAGGTGAAAGGCCAACATCCCAATCGTCAGCAGGAAATTTGTGTATGTTTGGGAGGCTGAGAGGAATCCCATCATCTGTGGTGCTTCAGGTTGGTTTCAGAGGGAGACGGTAACCATAACAACAGGTAACCATTAACGACCAGCATCCACCACGACTGCAGCTCACAAATTAACTCTAATTACAGAGATGCAGCTCAGAGCTGCTGCTGCTGCAGCTGATAACAGCCGGCCCTCCTCAAGTGTTTTCCATCCTGGAACAAACAACAGCAGCACATCCAGATCAGGCACTTGAATGCAAATGTGATTCTGTTCAAGGAAACTTGCAATTTAAATAAATGCAACAGTTTTATTATTATTATTATTATAGGATGATCAGAATGTCTAAACTTTTATTCAACAATCCCTGAACAATTCTTGAATAAAAGAAAGAGAGAGATATTCTTTAGCTACTGTTCAAAATGAGAAAGACAGGAAAGGATGGTTTAAGATAACAGTAGCCAAACATTTATCTTTAAACTCAATATTTGTTTTGAGGCTAAATATTTAGCTTGAACAAAATATTTAGTTTGATGCTAATATTTAGCTTGCTAACTAACTGTCTAGCTGCAAGCTAAATATTTAATGAGCAAGCTAAATATTTAGCTCAAGGCTACTTATTTAACCCGGAGCTAAATATTTAGTTTGAAGATAAATATTTTGTTGGCAAACTAAATACTTAGTTTGAAGCCGACCATGTATGGAGACTCAAACTAAATATTTAGCTCCAAAATTTTATTTTGTACAGTTATTTATTAGCTTGCTAGTTGAATATTTTATTTGAAACTGACATAAATGAATGAATAACATGATGAAAATGACTTTAAAAAATCAGTCAGAATCCAGGAAATCAAAATAATTCAGATTTATATGTTGCTTTTCCACCGCCTCTTTCTAATGCCGCCCTGGACAACTGCCAGCGGCTCAGACCAGACTGATTACTGCAGAGGAAAGCCCAAGTATGTCAGTTCTCCTCTGCTTTAGGAACCAGAGGGAGGATCCCAACAGAACCTGTTTAGCTAAACCCAGAACAGCAGATCCTAAAGGTCAAAGTGGGTTAAAATCCCAGTAGAGGTAAATAAAATGTCGATATGTTCCCAGACGTTACACAGGACTGTGGCGGTGAAAACATTGCAAAGTCTGAGTCAGACTGTGCAACACCTGCGGGAGCATCCTCCATCAGTGAATCCGCGTGTGCCTCACACCGCCATCCGACCCTGCGCTCTCCCCGCCCGGTGTGTGTGTGTGTGTGTGTGTGTGTGTGTTTCTGGGCTCAGGGCGGCTGCATGAGAAAACGCTGCGATGAGTTTAAGAAGTCTTGACAGCAGATGTCTGCATAATAACACACAGAGCAGACATGTGCAAGCAGGAAAATCAAGGACAGCACGTCATGCGTGCCAGTCACTTAAAGTAACAGTTTTCTCTCACAGCTTAAAACACAGATTATGTGCAGAAAAGGCTGCAGATGCTGTTAAATGGATTTATAAATCTGAGGAGGGATTTAAACGCTCTTCGCGCGCCTGGATGAGGCCGAGGCGGAGTTGCTAGGTAGAGTTCTGGAAGAGCAAATGCTGATGTGTAGGAGGAGGCCAAGTTCAGCTCTGAGCACGCTGCAGAGGCTCGTTAAAATTCAGATTTCTGAGTCAGAATCCAAAAAATAAAGGTGGTTATCATAGTTAGAGCTGCAGAGAGAGCTTGCCCTGTGTATGAGCTTCTAACCTGCTCAGGACTTGGAAGTGGGGATTATTTTGCAGCTGCATTTCTGCACCTCTTAACATGTGTTGACTCTGGGAAACAAGGCTGTGGCGTGCTTTGCTGCGCGCTCAGTGGTGGTATTTACCTCAGTGAAGCTGCAGGCGCTGAACGATGCTGTTTACACTTCCTCACTGTTGTCTCAGCTCTGATTCTCTGAGGTTCTGCAGGACGAGCGCAAACAAGCTCCATGCAGAAGCTTTGCTTGTTTTGTCTGTGGAGCAAAAATATATGTGTCAGCATATAAAATCATATTTATATGCTGACACATAGTCAGCATATAAATATGATTTTATATGAATGTAATGCAGAAATATACAGATTTACAGAAAAAAATATTAAAGTGAACTACTAATTTGTCCTTAGTTTATAAATTTATTTTGATCAAACTGAATAATGTCATTTTATTTTTTCAAAATATGGCCTGAACCACTACCTCAAAGTTTACCACGGTTTTATTTCATATGTGAGACACTCTGTGTCTCACATATTATAGCTCGATATTATAGCCTGACCACATCCGCCATACAAAGTTCCACTTAATTCTAATCTTTCTTCAGTGCTTCATCTGGGATTTCTCCCATTGAAGTGGATTGTCTCCAGTAGAATTTCAATCAGAAAACAGAAGAAGTTGTGAATGATGTCAATTTTCTGTGCTGTTTTAGAATTACAGTTCACCTATAGGGAGTGAACAAAGTCGTTCAGTCCGCGTTGATCATGTTTCCAAATATTGAATTAGCATTAACAGCCATCTTGTTTGGCTCGGCTCTTCTCTCTTTGCAGTGGGAGATGGTGTCAGTATGCAAAGTCTGTAATTTGACCAACACATCAGGAGGGAGGAGATACAAATCGGTTTCTAAGCTAGATATTTAAAACTTGTGTAAATATTGCCGTCTGTGACCCCCAACTTGGTGTGTTACATTCACAGATACATTAGCTCGACTCGAATAAGTAAAGGCCATGAATAAACTGACAAAAACAACTTTAGAAAACAACTTCAGATGCTCAGTTTGGTTCGCTCGCCCCTCACTTCCAACATCCATCGTGGCGCCTCCAAAAACTGACGTAGTTACAAATGGTCAGTACCAAAGCAATAGAGTCAAATGTGACTTTCATGAAATATTTTTATGGTATAATATAGATAGAGTACATTGCTTTTGTTTCATTTTCATCTGTATATTATCACTGTCTGCTTTAGGACGCTCAGATACATCTGACCAACTCTGACCAACTACGTGGATAAATTAATCTGATGATTCTAGCTTGAAATCAGTTTTCATTGGGGAAAAATAAATAAAAGGATTAGAAGAGGAGAATTCCCTCAGAAGAATAGAAATAAGATTGTGTTCACTGAACTGGAAAGTAGCAGGAAGAACCGCTGGCCAGTCATCAGTCCATGATGGACATGAAACTCACCTCCAGCTTCTACATCCAGCCGTTCCTTCCTTCATCAGCCACCCTCCCAGCCTGACCTCCTTCCCTCCTCCTCCGACCTCGGAGCGTCTGCATGTGTTGGAAAGCCCTCAGGATCGCAGATCACCAGATATACACAAAGAAAATCTCTGCTTGTTCACAGCAGCCTACGCAGGATATTAACAACACTGGTGCACACGCACGCATGCATACATGCACGTGCATGACAGCAACAATAACTCAACAAGAGCTGCAGGAGTGGGGGAGGAAGAGGAGAAGGTGGGGAGGGATTACAGCCTGGAGAAATAATAACAGCAGCCTCAGCTTGCTCTCTGCAGACATGTGCGCACACATAGATGCATGTCAGATGCATGGCGGATAGGAGGTCTCTGGTGTTGTGTCACTAGTGCTGTTAAGCAAAGATTTTAATAGACAACACTTTCAATCCTCCCCCATCACTCGCTGTAAGGTCACCGTGGTCCCCCGCCCCCTGCTGAGGGTATTAAGAGTGAAAGGCATTAGAAAGAGTGAGGATTTATGAGTCTTCTCCCAGTGGACGAATGCAGACGCAGAACTCACATTTAGCATCAATTTATCAAAGTGGGATTTGTTTATGTTTTTAATTTAACTCAGAAAATGGTGATTTTGACAGTTTCCGGAAAAAAATTTAGAGCTATTTATTGATTTAAGTGAAATCAAAGCATGCACAGGTGTTGATTAGCTTAGCAAATGTAGCTTTTATGAGCTAACTAAGACAGACATGTGGCCTACATGCTTGTCATTACATATACTTACTCTAAAGCCACGAGAATCTTGTCATTCTCAGGTGAAGTTTGCACATCCTTTACAAACCTGTTGAAACACTGATTGTTTCAACATCAAAGCGCATTGCTGAAGAAGCTCTGAAATCAATCCTTATATGGTGGCGTCCATTAATCCATTTGTGAACAGTCTGCCGCTGTCGACAAAAAACATCAGTCATTTCGACTTGGTTTGGGTTTAACCTCTGCGGTCTTAGCGCGATGCTCAGGACGAGCGCGGCAGATGTCACGGTCTGTGGAAGTTAGGAAATGCAAGCATGTTGTTTCACCACCTTAAGAAGCTGTTAAATGAGTTTTAAGACATACAGATGCATTTCACTCAATTAGTATGTGATTTATTTAGATTCTATTGTAAGTTTTATGCAAATCATATTGTGATATATATCATTACCATCACCTATCCGCATATATTGTGATACTAATTTTATGCCATATCCATTCCTAGTTCAAACTTCAGGGAACCATGTATTGTTAGTATGAACCGCCACGCAAAAAACATTATTGTCATCTTTCGGTCAGACTGAAGCAACAGCTTCATTACTGCATATTAAGCTCTGATCTGCCTGTCTGTCACTCATGGACACCAAGACACTTGACCTCATCCAGCCAGAGACATACAGCTGAGGAGTTATAATCTGCTCACTGATTGAGAGGGAACAATTAGACGTTTTATTTCCCAATGTATATAAGAAGAGTAACTTCTTCAGTTATGAAGCTAACCATGCGCTCAGTGCAGCGTCTGGCTCTGCGTTGGAAGAGATGCAGCTCAGTCTGCTGTTGGTTTCTGCTGCTGACATGAGGCCAGCAGCGCCTCTGCTGCTCCGCCATTCGGTCGTGTTTTCGCTGCGTTGTGGGAGGGAGCTGCATTTGTTTGAGAAGTGCCCAGCAGGAAGAGGCTGTCCTACTTTATCTCCGATTAAAACAGGTCACACATCAGGGACGCGACTCCGACGGAGCAATAAAACAAGAAGACATGAGGGAAAATGTAATTTAGGGAACAACTGAATCCTTGCTGGAGGCTTTTGTTGGGTTTGAAGATTTATTTATGTTTAGCAGGAACCACAACCTGAGGGGGGATTTTCATTCTTGCATCATGTCATGTCAGCCATTTGTTACTTTGTCTCTCCTCTCCCTCCATTTTCCACCCTCAGTTTTTGACATCTCCTCCTCTCTTCACAGGTTGCCATGGCGACTCCAGGGTAGTACTCACCAGTTGCCAAGGCGAGTCTCCACGCGAGCACAGCCTCCCTCCCACTGCGATGTGATGGATTGTGTACTGGAAGCGGGGATTTGTGTTGGCTTTTGTTGTTTTTTTTCACTTTGAAAAACTGACCTGCAGTGTCGCTCATGGTCCACCAGGTGGAGACAGAGTCCTTCTGGGGGATGAAGACAGCAATCTGCTACTGAGTGCAGAAGAGCTGAAGCAAAGCTTTTACTCAGGTAGCTGTACTGACATAAACATAGAAAAAATGTTGTATTCGCATAAACTTATGCGAATACGCATAAACTTATCAGTCTTATCTCATTAAAATATAATATAACACAGTTATTTTTAGTTATGTTACTTAGTAACATAACTAAAGGAAAATAAATGGTGCTTCATCATTGGCGGTTTTGCAAACGCCAGTCAGTAGCGTGTGAAGATTTTCTACTTTTACTTTCAAATATTTTAAATAGATTAAACAAAAAAAATCTGACTTTCTGTAAATAATTTGGATTGTGGGCCCACCATATAAATAATGTAAAATAAAGTCCCGTAGAAGAAAATACCTTCATCTCTTTAAGAAGTTTCACAAATTATTTTTGTTTTACGTAAATATAAATTGAGTCTGAAAGTTCCTGTTTGAAGCTGCTGAATCCTCCGTTATGATGTCATAAGTATCTCCAGTGATGTCACAAAGCCATCAGTTACCTGTGATCAGAGTTTCGATGTAAACTTTGATGAACAATCATCACTCAAGTGAACAGAGCACGGTCTAAAAGGACTGGAAGATTCAGGGGAAACCCATTCAGTATCAAGATATCAAGTTGATAAAGATATTTTAGACTCTACGAGAGACATGACAGATCTGGAAAGAGATTTTGAAGAGAAGGAAGAAAAGTTTGACACTGAACTAAATCCAGAGATTCGGGAGAAAATGGCGGCTCTTCAAGAGGAACAATCAGATCAGAAAGCCTTGGAAACGATGAGGAAAAATTTGGATCGAGAGAAAGAGGAAATGGAAAAAGGCCAGACAATTGCAAAAGAATGCCAGGAAGTTCAAAAACAATTAGAATTTGTTGAAGCAATGGAAGAAATGGACAATGAGAGGAAAAGACTTAAGAAGAAGTATGACTTCCTTAAGAAGATAAAGGAAAAACAAAATGAGAAAGAGCAAAATATCAACAAAATGGAGCGCGACATAGAGGAACTGATACCAAATTTAGTCAACGACACAGAAATTATTATTTCGCAAGTGAAAGCACTTGCAAAGGAGTGGGAGCGCTTGAAGAAGTCGGACATAAAACTGTTGACCGAAGAAATCAAACTAACAAAGTCAAAGATGGAAGCGGAAATGGAGACACAAAAAATACAAGAAGAGATAGCAACTTTCTATAACGTATCCCAAAACCTGCATAGAATTACAGTGAAACTGGACGAGCGGCAAGAGATAATGCAGCAAATGCAGAAAAAGATCAAGGAAGAAAAAGAGAAGCTGGCGAGAGAAATAGAAAGTTTCCAACGGGAGTGTAGATCGTCAGTCGATGAGTGGCGAAATCTGCGGGAGACGGAGAAGCACGGGAGGAAGAAGGAAAAACTCAGAACATCCAAAAATATCCTAAAAATGGAGGAAAAACTTCTTCAGAAAGAAAAAAGGGGCAAGTGGACTGTAACCCAAAATCTAGACAGTATTTTTAAGCAACAGGATCAGTGGGAAATGGAACAAGAGACTCAACTGGAGAAAGACAATAAAGAATCGAAGGCATGGATTAGAAAGCGAGAGCAAGAGCTCAGGTTTGTGGATTTCGAAAGAAAATATCAAGAAGAGTGGAAAGAAAGCTCGACTGTCCTCCAGGAAATCATGGAGTCATTGCAGAACGTGCTGATTGACCTGGAGAAGAGGAAAGAAACTGAACTGGAGAGAAAAATCCCAAGGCCTGTAGAAAAAAACTCAGTCCAGACAAAAAACAAAAGCAACAAAGAAGGCTTCTTTTCTTCCTTTGGAAAGCCGAAGTGTGAAGCAGAAGGTTCATTTGAAAGAAAAACAGGAGAGATGAGAACGAATCAGGAAGAAGAGACGACGAGGAAGGGCGTTTGGGTACAGATGTGTAATTTGTTCCTAAGGAAATCTGAGAAAAAGCAGCCAGAGAACAGGATCAGGAAGTCCTCACCGAGAGCATCTGTGAAGAAACCTTCAGAGGCTCACTCAGGAGAAAGCTGTACTGGTGGATGCAACCATGAAGGCCACAAAAAGAAGAACTGATCTCTGAGACTCAGACAGATGAGATGTATGAGATCTATTTGAATTAAACATAAGATGAATAATGAGAAGATAATTCAGATCTAAATTATACATAACACACTTCAGACCAGATTTGTTTGATTTGGAAAAACTGATCACAAGGAATTGTTCGTTAAGTTCCATTTATAGGGCGCTGGTTATGCAAAAGGGATGTTTCACACATTTTTGTTCTTCCATTTGCTTTTAAAACATTAGAAGAATGTTTTCTTCTGAACTTATTGTCAAAAAACAGATAAAACACCTATCTGTTTTTTGACAATAAGTTAATGTTTTTTAAGTAAATCCTAAAACCTCACGATTGTTGAGTCACAATCAACAGGCACTGTGCCATTATCTACTAACCGATGCCTGGCAACCAATACCTGGCTCCTGGAAATGACAAGTAGTTATTTCCAGCAGCTGGTTGCTGCTTTCTTGTTGGTTGTACAGGAGGCTCCACTACTGCTTTTCAAAGCTGTACAGTTGTACATTTGTACATCAATACTGACCAGACTGAAGTGTCATTATGTAAAAAGTGGTAAACATGTTTTGTATAAACAGTAAACCTATCGTAACCTGATCAAATTAGCATAACAAGTCAAATTTAAAGCTTTTCCCCTATGCAGTTCTACCTATATACTAATCTTAACTGTCAAACTAATACTTGTTTTCTTTGGGTTTTCACCACGTGTGATGGTTTGTCCCTAAAAAAACTTTTGAGACCAGGATTCATCAATATTTTTCAGATTCTACCTATCAATCTAACGATGTGTGTGTGTGCTAGCTTAGCTAGCTAGCGAGATTTAGCTACCATTAACATCTTTCATTTAGCTAGCTCTCTCTACACACACACATATATATCTACACACGCGCATACACACACACACACACACACACACACACACACACACACACACACACACACACACACACACACACACACACACACACACACACACACACACACACATATCTACACACGCGCATACACACACACACACGCACACACACATATATATATATACATATAAAATTGCCTTCTCACCCACCGCGGGTGGTTCTTATCCTCTGAGCTCGGGTCCTCTACCAGAGGCCTGGGAGCTTGAGGGTTCTGCGCAGTATCTTGGTTGTGCCAAGGACTGCACATTTCTGGACTGAGATGTCTGATGTTGTTCCTGGGATCTGTTGTAGCCACTGCTCCAGTTTGGGGGTTACTGCCCCGAGGGCCCCGATGACCACAGGCACCACTGTGGTCTTCACCTTCCAGGCCCTCTCCAGTTCTTCCCTGAGGCCCTGGTATTTCTCCAGTTTCTCGTGCTCCTTTTTCCTGATGTTGCAATCACTTGGTATTGCTACATCTACCACAACGGCTTTCCTCTGTTGTTTATCCACTACGACAATGTCTGGTTGGTTCGCCATTACCATTCTGTCTGTCTGGATCTGGAAGTCCCACAGGATCTTAGCTCTGGCGTTCTCCACCACCTTTGGGGGCGTTTCCCACTTTGATCTCGGGGTTTCCAGTCCATATTCTGCACAGATGTTTCTGTACACTATGCCTGCCACTTGGTTATGTCATTCCATGTACGCTTTCCCTGCCAGTATCTTGCACCCTGCTGTGTATATATATATATATATATATATATATATATATATATATATATATATATATATATATAAAGAGGACCCGAGCTCAGAGGATAAGAACCACCCGCGGTGGGTGAGAAGGGAAATTTTTTTTATATATACAGTCGTGTGCACAGTATATATACTGTACACACGACTGTATATATACTGTATACACGCACACATATATGTGTATGTGTAGATATGTGTGTGTGTGTGTGTGTGTGTGTGTGTGTTTGTGTGTGTGTGTGTGTGTGTGTGTGTGTGTGTGTGTGTGTGTGTGTGTGTGTGTGTGTGTGTGTGTGTGTGTAAAATTCACATCAGCATGAATTATGGCAGAACCCATGGACTGCAGTTTGTAAAGTCACACAGTAAAACATTTACAGCAAAATTTGGTTTATTTAGTCTTTAGAAGAAACAAATGCATTCATTTTTTAAAGTCATGTATTCACCGTGTTGTTTATACGTTTAGAAATGTCATATCTCCAAACTACATATTTAATTTGCTAGCAAAATATTGAAATATTTTTATATTTAACTTGCAAATTGTTTTTAGTTTATCTAAATGCTGTCTGCATTGCAGTGTCACCAGATGACCATCACTGTTTTCACCTGAACAGAGACAAAACTAAAGTAATTATTTTTGACCCAAAGAGAAACGACCTAGATTTCTGTTATTACAGGCTGAAACCAGGATGTTGTGATGGACTCAGATATGAATCTTCAGAGACACATAAAGGCGGTTGCAAAGTCAGCCTTATGTCACCTGAAGAACATTTCTAGGATAAAAAGAAAAAAAAAGAAAGTCCCCTAAAGATCTTGAGAAAGTTTCTATTTCGTTGCATTGATTATTTCAACTGTCTGTCAGGGGTATTTTTAATTCTTCGGGTTTAAAGGACAGTTCTCAAACTAATGCTAAACAAAATTTTGCAAAATGATCAATGGGAAGATGTTTCATTTTTCTAAGTGTAGTTTTGTTTCTCGTCATGATGACCTCTGAGCATCTACGTTCTCTTTGACCTTCTCTAATCTGACACAAGCCCAATCAGCTCTTTTGTCCTCCAAAGACATGTCTACAAAATGTCCTTTGTCCTGAAGACGATTGTTTTGACATATTATTCACAGCTCCTATTTTTAGGGTTGGGTCTCTGGCCTTAAAAGGCAGCCGAGTCCTTACAGTATGTGCACTCACACAAGCAGAGAACCAGTATCCACTGTCAGTGTGGATTAAAGACACGCCGTCCCGTCCTGTGGTCGGCCTCGCTGCGGGGCAGTGAGCCTCAGTGTGACGAAAGCACCAAAAAAACAAACACAAGGGGGGAAAAAAACAAAAATAACAAAGGGCAGGCTTATGTAAATGATGCACAGGCCCAGAGGACGAGATGCACGTTCATCCATCTGAGCACACTTTAAATACACGACTTCATAACGTGGTCTTTACCAGAGAGTCACCGCTGCAGCTCCAGGGATCAACAGCACCAGTCTGCTCCCGAATTCCTCATAGTGACTTCACCTTTTCTTCATGCCAGTTTGACAGAAATAACTTGTATTAGCAGAGTGTTGAATCACTGTGAGCATCATCCAGGGTGATGCTCCTGCATCTCATCATGTTATCAGGGGGTCTTTATGGCTTCAGATTTGACAGAAATAGGTTTTGGTCCAGTTTTGTTTTATTTTTAGCTAAAACCGGAAATCCTTTTTTCACTGTATTCATTTATTCTGTGTATCTATTTCATCATTGTAAAAACATCCTTTATTTTTATGCATTGTTTGCAGGTTTTGATCATCGGATATTGCAATTTTTGGGATGGAGGGAGGATTGACATGCAGCCAAGTGAGGCTGGCAGGCAGGTAAAGATGTCTGAACTCTAATTAGTGTGGAAATAACAGCCAAAACTGAAGGAACCAAAGAAAAAAAATCATCTACATATGGGGGATGACTGAACTAAATAAATATATGATTGCATATTTAGTTTTCTATTGTTAAACTATTTTTTCTAGAGGCAAGAAATGCTGGTCTATTTGCCCTCCAATGTATTTTGGTCAGACTTGAGAAATAAAATAATCAACGTATAAGAAAACAATTGCATGTAAAACTGTGGAACAGCCACAGGAATATACATATTTGCTATATTGAAAATGTATGTTTATGCTTCATTTGGGTCATTTTAGCGGTTTTACTTGTGCATTCCTTTGGCGTAATTCCACATGCTGTCACTAGAGGGCGGAGTACAGTTCGCGTCATTCTGAAATGCTAACGGAAGCGCTACGTGTTTTTGTAACCCAGCTATTTTTGTAACCCAGCTATTTTCACCTTTTCTGGTCAGTAAAAACTCTTCAAAAACTTAAACATTGATATATTTTGAAATATATAACTGTTATTCGGTGATTGGTTGAACAATGCGCCAAATGAAACGGTTTATGAAGATATTAGCCCAGATAATGCGAGATATTCTGTGTGCTACGCCATGCTAACGCTAACGGAGATTACGTTTTAAATAAACAGCAGATTAAACAAAAATTACTACATTTATTGTGTAACTTTATTTATCATTCATTGAAAATACGAATTTAACACCACCAAAAAAATCTAAATACCTTTTTGTTTTTGTATGAACACGTTTTGGTGGTTTAATTTATATACATAAAAAAGCAAACAACAAGCCAGAATTTAACTAGTACACAAAAATATTACTGATGTTTTTGCTATTAATCCGACGCTAATTTAATTAAACAGGATTAAAGTGAGCATTCCACTCACCATCAGTGTACACTATTCAATCTCAGTTTATTGATAATTTTATTAATGCTGCTATTGATTAAAACAGACTTTGAAATTGAATTCAAAAATATCTTTGCTGCTTATTCCCACAAACTCCTTCCCTCCTTTTCACAGTATAAAACCATTCTTACAAATGTAATTTTGACATATAATTTTGAACAACCATTAGTTTTCATTTTACATCCTGTAGATGTTTTTATCTTCTGTTTCATAAATTAAAAACAATAAAAAAAAAATTCTATTATCTGCTGTAACAACAGGTTTATTTGAAAATACTTGTTTTATGTAACTAAGTCCAATAAATTACAATTATTTTCTTATCCACTGTTGGAAGATTTTAAGTTGTGTATAATGTTTTTGGCCTAATTAAAAATAAACAGCCTCTCTTTTTCCTGGGGCTTGTATCATTCCGTAATTATAGTTCGGGACACAAAAATCATTCCAATGGTCCCTAAATGAAGTGAAAACTGGGACTTAGACGATAAACTTGATTTAATTAAGTGACTGCTACATTTTTGTTTTGCTACACCTGTTTGGACTGAACTGAAATTATACTGAACTTTATTAGTCATGGTAAACTGAACTAAGTTGGCTATTTTTCTTATTCTCCCATTCCACAATATAAACAATAGTGTATTTTCTTTTGTTCAGTTTGTATAAACTACTCCCTGCTGGCCATAATGATAAAAGCAGGACTGCTGTTTTTAATTAATTAGCTTTATTTTTAAAGTTTTATACAATTATCTTTTTTAATTTTGTTATCCCAAGTACAGGTTTTTTTTATCAGTATGGGTTAACATTTGGGAAATTTTAGGTATATTTAAAGTCAAAATGAAAGTTTCAGATTTTTTGGAATTAGTGTGAAATTCCTGACTTCTAAGCTGCAGAAACCCGTGCCGCTTCATCCAGACATGGCTCACCTGCCTCCTTGAGTTTCATTTTCCACTGGAGCGTTCCAACGCTTACGTCGACGCATTCAGGCGAAGAGAGGATGAACCGAACCAGACGGGTTCCTCCAGCACGAAACACCAGACAGCAAAGCAACAAGCGGTCAACCCAATTGGGTTTCAGGTCTTCCTGAGTCTGCAGCCATATGGACTCCCAGCAGGAAGCCCGGGTGGCTCCCAGAGAAGCAGGAAGCTTTATTTCTCCTCTTTGTGCTGCCTCCTCTTTATTAGCTTCTTATTAACCAAACATAAACTCATTATCGGTTTTCAAAATGACGACATTTGGACACAAAAGAACCTCTAAGTATTTAATTTGAAGTCAGGAGCTCCTCCCAGACTCTGCTTTGTTCCTCTTATGTATCGCATGATCTTATGCATTTTTAACATCCTCACTTTCCTGAGCAGACAGTAGGCTGTATAAGAGTCTGTAAAGGGAGACGGAGCGCTGTTATCAAAATATCAGCCGCTAAAGAGCGTCAGGTAGCTGATGGATACCAAAGCAGAGCGGAAACAGGGAGGGGAAATCGCTCCAGCAGGGCGGAGTCATTTCTCTGATCATTAAAACGTCACGATGTGGTCTAACAAAGAGTTATGCAATTTAAACCAGATCTGATTTTTATATCTTCACTTACTTTAGAGGTGGACGACATAGACTTAAAATTTTATCATTTTGTGGTACTATTGTGATAATGATAAAAGTGATGATAAGAACTATTTATTCTTTTTTTAGGTAACCCTATGGCTTTGACCGCATGACACAACAAATGAGAAAGTGTCATTATTAATCCATAAAATCCCATAACAGTTTTTTAGGATTTAGTGTAGATTAGGAATATATCTGAAAATACATGTATGTGTAACTGCTTATTTCATTGGTTCTTCAATTCTGTACTGAAAAATAATGAAATTATCGCTTCTTCTACGTCTCTGCAGGAAATTCTGTTGTGTGCTGTAGAAAACAACTTTTTGCCTTTGAATTATAAAATAATCTGATCTGTTCTTTGGATTGAAGGAAATCAAAGCGGGGACAGGAGAACACTACACAACTCGAACAGGAAGTTAGCAGCCAAAGCGACAGCACCAGTTGTTTGTGAGCATAAAGTCAATCTGGTAAGAAAATCTTTCATTCTGTTCTCTGTCAGTAGAAAACAACTGCTCATGTCAATCAATAGCTGGTTGATCTCAATTAGTTTTCTCTGTTTTACATGCTATAATTAGCTGTATCTGTTTTTTTCTTAGTATCTGAGCCAAATGACTGCAGCTTTTTTGGGCCAAAAAACACATATCTAAATTTGTTTAGTTTATGTGGACTTAACAAACGGTCCTCTGGATTTTGATTTTACATTGCTGTTGTTCAATGAAACTATAGAAAACAAAACCGAGGGAGCACTTTTAGACGTCCTTGTAGAATGCCAGTTTACTAGGTCTCCTTTTTGTATAATCACCAAATGAATCTTCAGCTCCTAAAGTAAAAATAAAGCAGGGATCAGTACATGAGAGTGATGACTCTTGCAGTTAATGTGAGAGTAAAACTGAAGTATGGAGAACAAAACCAGCCTAATTAAAGTGTAATGGAGAGCTGTTTGTTGGTGCTTTAATCTGTCTATAATTAGCATGTCTGCCAGCAGCAGCTTATCACTTGTCCCTGCATGTGATTTTCACATGTCTGCTGCTCTGGCCGCATCTCAACACGCCACCTGTCCACCGATGGTCATGTTAGGACCGTCATCTTCATCCTGAACTCTTTAAGCTTTCTTGGTTAAAAACTTCTCATCCTTTATTTATGGACTGGGAAAAAAACAGACAAAATACTGATTATTATTGTGTGCATTTACAAGACATTTACCTGAGTAAAACTTAGTATTCAGTTGCAGTCAGTGTTGCAACAATCTGAAGATGCTTCTGACTGAAGACTGTTGAAGTATGGCAATCCATCCTACATACATTGAAACTTATCCTACAAGTTTAGTTACTTATTCAAAGTAGTTTAAAAGTTTCTGTCTCTTAGCAAGCATTGCTTATTCACCTCATTTGCTTTTGTCTCTCCTTTGTAAATCTCTGTCTGGTATTTATTTTATTTTGTATCTTTGAGTAAAAGGTCCATTAGTGAAAATCTTATACAGAACAATTTACAAATCTTTAGATTTATTAAATAGAAAATGCACAAATGTTTTGGGAAAGATTCCTGGTTACATCACCAGAGTGCACTGAGTTGTTGGCCAGCTGATTTATCTGTGCTGATTTCCTTAATTTTGATTTTATTGATAATCGGTGATCAGGGATCTCCACCTGGTCATGTCTGAATGTTTACATTTATCAACAGTCACATCACTGTTACCAACTCAGCAACTTCCTTTCTACAGTTAGCAACGTTTCAGACACAAAAAATGGTATTAGCCAAAAAATTAGGATGGACATTTCAGGCTTTTAAAGATTAGTAATAAGTGAAGGAATGCATTGTTGAAAAACCTCCAGACTTTCCAAAAATTCACATCTTCAAAAACCAAATTAACAACATTGATTTATTGCCCACTTGTAGGCAATGGATTTGCAAATTTTGGTGATTTCCACACTTGTCTTTTAGCTGCTTCTGATGAAGTTGTGAGATGGTATTGTTGATTTTGGTCCATATTTTTCAGCAAACGTGGTTGTAGACGGACATTAAAAGCTAAAATGTGTGTGTTTGTCCTGAACGGCGGTCCATCCTCCTCCGTGACGTTACGTAAGTGGAGTCACCTCCTCTGTCAGTCTTTTGGTTCACAGCCCACTCCCTCTTCTCACAGTAGATTAAGTGCAGCAGAGAGGGGATTTGGGAGGCTACATTTCGTTAAGGCGACCCATCGACAGCCCATCATGCTCATCACCAGCAGTAATGTAAAAATATGTCATGCGGATTTCTATTTTAAGGCCAGAAAATCAGCGTATTTATCCAGAAGCAGCAGAGAGAAAGGAGAGAGTGGAGCCGGCTCACTTTGAAAAATCTGCTTGAAACCTCGAGAGGGAAGAATGAAAGTGGCTGTTAAAGGAGATGGACAGAGAGAGACGCAGAATTCATCCACAGAGGGATGGAGGAAGAGAAAGAAGGGATTCAGATGAAATGAAGGAGGGAATTATCACAGCAGAATTTTCCAATTTCCAAACAATAATTCACCTATTTATTGATCTGATTAATTTACCCTGAATGCGTTCATCCTGACCTCTACTGATCATCCAACCAACTGTCCCACCGTCCGCCCTCTTTCTTTGGAGAATCTATGCAGAAAGCTGAAGATTAGGGTGAAGGTGCCCGTTTAATTTTCTGCCCCACTTCTTGGCGAAACAGTTTTTAAAAAATTTGGTCTTAACTGTATAAACATAAACACCACTCAGGCTTACCATTATGACCCAATGTCACCCCTTTGTGCTACCAAGCAGCCCCGACTGGTCAAAGATTTCATTCAGTCAATTCTATCACAGCACACATAAAATAATCCAGATTAATTAGTGTTAATTGTCTAATTAAAAGTGGGGACTCTGACTTCCTGTTCTACTCTGAACTGCGTAGTTTAAAGTTGCTTAAAGATCCTCCAGTCCTGCAGAGAAGCACCCGGTCAGTCTGCTGGCGCAAGGACAGCAGGGCTAAATTTTTGATACCAAACAAAGCTCTCGAAAGCAGCCCTTTAAATGATGGATGATTGTGAACTGCAGCCAACACAGACAGAAGGATCGGCACGAACTCTTGGGTTACAAGGTGCAAAGTGCAAAACCAGACAGCTGATTTAGACACCCGAGACGCTGCATGAGATGATGTCAGGAGCCAAAGGTGGCAGGAAGACAAGCAGAAAGGACAACAGACTGGCGTCAACGTCCAGTCCGAGTTTAACGGGTTTTTGTGGCTCTTTTAGGAAATGTGTTTCGTATATAATACTTATATAGTTTGATGCATGACCCTTCTTAATGCTTGTGATAGAAATTCAAATGATTCTGATAGGATGTGGATCAAGCAGACGATTTTCCTTTTTTAGCCTTTTTATTGTAGGGTTTTGTTTGTTCTTGGGATTATTTGGCATAAAATTGGACTGGAATATTTTGATATATACACGATTCATGGTTGCTTAAGTTCTCCTGGTGCAAAACAAACCCAACCCGCCCCCTACCACAATACCTGAGAACTGATATGAGGTTCTTACATGCTCTGCATTCGGATTGTTATGAATCTCATGGTTGATGTTAGACTTTTTTTATAGGCTTTGTACGGGTGCTTAAAATCCTTGAAACTGCTTGAATTTCAATTAGGCATTTTCAAGGTATTAATAAATATATTTCTTTAGAAAAGAAAGTAAAAAAAACAAATTTTTTGGTATAGCAATTCCAAAATGTGAGCAAACACAAAAAGACGGACTTATATGGAATCGTACACAAGATTTAGCTGTTTTTATGTTTTTTTTAATACATATTATGGTGTTGATTTAAACTCTAAAACATTTTTAGAACATTTTGATTTAACATGTATAAGGTATTTAGATCTTTAAATACCTGAGAAGATCTTTCACTTTGTGATAGTGGTGAAACTTTATGGTAATTGAAATGACACTCCATAATTTACCACTTTTTGAGTTAAAATGTGGAATTTTGGAAAAATTAAATTGGAATTTGGGAAATAATAATAATAAAAAAACAATTTCCCAATGAACTAAACACTTTTTCTCATATTCCTACTTGCTGCAGATTAGCAAACTAAGAAAAATTTAAACTCTTAAGATAATAGTTTGACTTTCACCACCACCTTGTAAAGTAAATCCTCAGTAAACAAGTCTGTTCTCCTCTGATTCTGTACTTTTCCTCTTTCCTCAAATAGAAAGCCTCCATATGTTTGGTTGTCTACCTCCTCCTCTGTCCTCCTGTGGATCTCCCTGTGCATCCACCCACACTAACCCAACATGCACTCTGCTCCAGGCTGCCGCTCCTCTCCACAAACACAGAGCAGCTCTTCTCGTTTACAACACACTCCTTTACTGTCCGGCCTCGATGTGATTCACACAGAGCAAAACGGGGAGAAACTACATATTTAAAAAGAGCAGAGGTATTAGGGTAAAGGAATATGCACTGTCCATCCTTTATTTCTTCTTTTCTGCAGATATGACTTTAGAGTTGTGGACTTCTGTGTTTTTAGGTTTAGATGATGCATGTAGTGCAAACCCAGAATGTGATGGATTAACACAAACACTAAAAGGCAGACAGGAAAATATCCCCTTTGAATGACAGGAATAAATACTATAATAACATTAAAATAAGATGATGCTGGAGTCTAAATGTCTCTTATAAAGAAAGCACACACTAATTTTAAGAAATCCTTCTGGCCTTTCCATCGTTTCCCCCAGAAAACCTGCTAAGCCTGATGGTAGAGGCGCGAAGGCAGACATCCAGAAACCTGCCATGTTTTTGAGTTGAAAGACATTTTTAATAATGTCTTTTATTGTAAGACATTATTAAAAATACATAAACACCAACTATAAAGTCTTTAAAAAAAATGCAAAAAATAAAATACATTCAAAATATCAATTATTTTCATCACTTCATTTGTTCCATCCTAAATTAAAAAGTCCAAAATCTTCTGGTCATTTATCTGTGACTCGTAACTTTATTAGCTGAAGTTGCTAGCATGGAGACCGGTAGAGACAAGAAGTGATTATGGATTTCCTGTGAATAATAATAAAAATAAAAAAGAAAACACCAGATTTCAGTCTCCCTCTTTAACCTGTTTTTTTTTATCACTTCTACTGCTGAAATAAAGAATAATACAGTGCTTAGCCTGGTGGGGGTGCAAATAAAGCCTGGTGGCCCGCCAGGCTAATAAACGTGGGAGAAAACTGACCTTTTGCGTAATATTAATATTAAACTATGATAGTAACTCTTTTCAGAAGGATGTGAAGTAAGGTTTAGCTGATCTGTAAAAACACGGTGCAGGGGTGGATTTAGAAAAGTAAGGGCTCATGGGCTGAATCTGGTTTGGTCCCAAAGAGATAATTTTCAAATATTTGAGTGTAGTTTAAGTTAAGCCGCGGTAAACCCTTTTTAAAGCCTGATTCGTTGTATGTTCAGTGCTCAGTAACTTATTTAAACACCCCAACACGGTGAGTATAGATGTTGTTGTAGTTTGATAGAGTACTGCAAATGATAAATGTCATCAACATAACAATTAGCAAGACTACAGTTAGCAAATCCTTTTGTTTTCTTATCTCCACAAACCGTTTAGTAGGATGTGGCGTCATTTTCTTCCCAGAGCTTCTCAGGCACATAAAAATGCACAAAGCTTTGCTTGGTCATTTTTCCTGAGTCCGAAAATCATGATTACTGTTTATAGAGGCTAGTATAACTATGCTAATGTTAGCACGCGCATGCTAATTTGGTTCAAACTAGCAGTGATTATTATTATTTTTGTCGTTTTTATTACATTTCTTTGATACATTAGGGACAATATGTTCAGATTAGACAATAGCAACAGAAAGAAAAGCTTTTGTGTGATGACATTTTGCATTAGCTTCCTTTTATTATTTTGTGTATTTTTGATGACGTTCTTATTTTCTCTTTTCTGTAAGTTCTTTTAATTTAATTTAATTTCCAGACTGCCAGACCGTTTTACCCTTGATTTTTTCCTCCTTCTTTATCATCTTTTGCTTAGTTTTGTCTTCTGCTTCATGTTGTCTAAGCATTCTGACATTCTCATGACATTTTCTTTTTTCTTTTGTCTTTTTAAATTTGTCTTAATGGAAAATGGAAAATTGTTTCCATTTTCTTCTACTTTTGTTTTTTATTTTTCGTTTGTCCATCTTGTTTTTGCCATTTTTTGTTTTGCAATTAGTTTTAGGGTTTCTTAATTCATCTCTATCTTTTTTCTTCTTCTGTTCTTGAAGGTCATGTTTGTGATTTCCTCAAATTTTAACCTTGATTTGCCTTTTTAATTCTCGTCTTTCACCTTTTTCTGTTTTGATGTTTTTGTAGCAACCGCTATTCCTCCTTCTGCCATCTTTAATTAAATATTTTATGCTTATTGTTCATGCCATTTAATTTCTTTCCAACATAAAACCCTGAATTTTACATAATAACTCCTGTTCTCAGTTTTCTCTGACCTTTTGACCCTGCTTTTACAAGTGACATTAATGTCCGGCAGGATCAACATGTTCGGACTCCCTGAGCTGCTTCACATGCCGGATTATTTTAGCCTCATCACATCAACATGTGCTGCTGTAGCTGTTGTTGTTGCTCACCGTTTGTTCTCCACTTTGACTTTGCCCACGTTGATCCCATCTAATCACATCATAAAAATCAGGAGCTCGTTGTTGGGTGTCACATAGGAAACGTTTAGCGTCTTTATTTTTTTAACCCCTAAAGATGTTTTGGTTAAAAGTAACTTCACCAAGTGGGTTGTCAGCTTTTAGTAGCGAAGCCTTCAGCTGAAAAAACTCCCGGTAGTTGTTTGTTTTTGGTTCACTCTTTACTCAGTTTGTACAAATTAGTTTCTGGGCAGCTCTCTTGACTGAGGTCAGGACTTTGAATAGGCCACTGATTCTTGTCTTTTTCATCCATTGTGTTGTAGTTTTGTTGCTGTTTTTGAGATAATTGTTCTGTTTGAACCAAGCTACACATTTTGCTCTGGAGACTGTGAGATCTTGGTTTTCTTCTTGGCATATTGGTAACTTTTAAATTCTTCTTTTTCTGAATATGTTTTCTCACTATATTGTGGTAAACAAATATGCAGATTTCTTTGGTAGAGGACAGAATTTATAACTTAATCAACACAAGCGATAACAAATATAATTTAGTCATTACTATAAGTGATAGTGTTGTTTCAAACAATTTTGAAGTAATCCTTCTGCTTGGTTACTTCTTGTTTGTTGCGCCTTGGACAGGGTTCATGGTTGAGTGTTGTTTACCGATATTGCATTGCCGTAATTACTATGTTTAATGGTGCAGATAGTTGTGGTTTTTGACATGGGCGATTTGGGCAACCACCCAGAGCGCTTTGTTTCAGGGACGGCAGGAGACATCTGTGGATTGTGGCACAGAGATGGAAGCAAAGCAGAGTGAAGAAGAGTTTGAATCAATAATGATACTGTGGATCACATTTCCATAAAAACACCACTATATTAAATACTTAGTACTGAAATAACTTTAACAAATTCAGATAAATTTGAGAAGCAATTTTGATTGGTTCACTTAACTTAATTGTGTCATGTAGCGCGGGGCGCTGGTCGTGATCTTGACTTAGTCTTGGGTTACAACTTTGCTACCCTTGGTTGCATGTCTTCCCCCTCCCACCATCCCCTTCCTGTTGGATTTCTTTCAAAATAAATGCCACTCGTGGCAAAAAAACTAAACTTGAGTCGATTTGTTGCTTTTTGGAGAGATTTTAGATTAATCACTCAAAATTAACCACTCAACAGATCTGGCATTTATTGTATTAACTCCGGTTTTCTTTGTGTGACTTTAAAATTAGAGGTAAAGAAATAAATTGGTTCTTTAGAGAATAGTAATTTCTAGCCCTTGGAATCGATTCAAAATGCTCAATTAAGACTTTAATCAGCTTAATCTTTTGGTAAAATTATATTTTGAATAATTCTTTTAAATTTTTTTATTTAAGAAAAAGCCAGGTATCTAAGCTAACCCAATGCTAGCATAATTTTATGCACAAACCTATTTTTGTCTTTAGATTTGACACAGAATGGAACCGTATAAAATTGTTTTAAATAAATGGTCTATTTGTTTCCACAGTCTTGTCCTCTTGTCAGTTGCATAATTTAAACAGAAACTTTAGCGCGTTGGAAAATAATTAAATAAAAATATTTTCCAACCCTTAAAAAAAAAGTTGGATGAGACATTTCAACAAATTAAAGTGAAATCACACCCAAAAACCTGGCAAACGTTGAATTTACTGTTTATTTTCCAGGGTTTATTGAAGATGCTGTTATATGATGAATGGACAGAAACTGCTGACTAACCTTGCATAGGTTACAGACTCTGCCTCAGCGGCCAATGAAAAGCTCTGCAGACGGAAGCAGCAGCCAATCAGAAAGAAAACAAACAGAAACATCCAACAAGTTTGGAGAAAATGAATACAGTTCTTCACTGTTGTGTTTTTTTTTTAAACAAAAACCGTCCATGCTGAGACTTTCGTTCTGAACGACACTTTGGCTTCTGACAGGAAACAGAAAGTCTGACCAGCTGCAGTCATCCATGCGTGTTGGGATATTTAAATTATCTCCACATCCACCTGAAACACTGCAAACGTCTCATCATCATCACCTGAACTGTAAGCCTTATTTATCAGTAGCTCAGCATTGTCAAGCTGTAAAAAACCGGAATAAAATAAATAAATGTCAAATACATTCAAAATAAATAGACATAAAAAATAGCAAAACACAATTTTTCACAGAGTTGAAAAAAAAATCCGTCTGAGGCAAAACATTCAAACTGAAATGATAAAAATGTGTCATTTTGGAAGGATTCAGTAAAAAACCTGAACCCTCAAACTGCCTAAACCTTTAAACAAAAAACATCTGAGATTCATTTCTGCTTGTTAGACCTGAAATTTATTTTATAATTTCATGTTCATCAATTATTTTGTTTTCAATTTGCTTTTAAAGCTTGAAATAAAAATATTATCAGAAAATCTTCTGTATTTTTGCTTAAGAAGTTTCAGCAGTTTAATGTCATAAAGCAACTTAAATTTGCAGCAAATCTTGATATTTTTTTAATTTTTTTTATTGAATGACTGATTTATTGGACATTACATGGAATATGTAACGATGAGACACACTTCAGAGCTGATTCAAGTTCATTGCTGAAATCAAGCAACTTTTCAGGTCATTCTGATGCCTCAAAGCAGCAACAAATCAAATTACGCTTATCGATAAATCCAGGTTGGAAAACATCGGCAGTTGCAGGAAGTTTCCGTCAAAAACTAATTTAACGGCTTGTTATCTACTGGAAATCAATCCGGTTCTGGCAGTTGGAAGCTTGTAATTAAATCGTGTTTACTCGAGAGATAAAAATTGGATTTTATTTTGGAAATGACACAGTTCTGTCCTGTTTACTGCAGATCAGACGGTAAAAACATTAAAAATGTGTATATGAAACTCCTACAAAACACCATTTGGTCCCTTTAGTGGCGTCTGCTGCAGAAAACTCCAACTTTGGCCTCCAAATATAAACACAAACCAATTAAGAAAACACTGAGTACTCTGAACTATGCTTTTAATCAATCTTAAATAAACTAATATTGATATGATTCAACCTTAAAAAAACAGTAAAATATTAAAATGTTTCTCTTAATCCTTCAGCATGTTTACCACTTAGCACCTTCGTAACTTTTATGTATTTTTTCCAGACTAATTAAAGGGATTTAAATGCGCCGTTTAAGAAACTTGACAATGACACACAGCTGCAGCAGCATTAGACTTTATCAAATATATTTAAAAGGTTTTCTTTTAATTAAAATATTTGAATTTCACGTCAGAACTGTAGGGAAGATTAAAAAAGAATTTTTAATCTAGAAATTTCACCCCTCATAATTCCTTAACCTTTGGTCGGATTTGAGCTTTTGTGCACCACATTTTTTCCTTCCACTCAACCTTAAATTAATATTCCTGGACAGAGTAGCATCACTGACCCACCCTGTGGAGACTTTTCATGACTATTGGGTGAACAACTAAAGCCATAACATTTCATTTCTGTCATAAAAGCCACTTTTTTGATCATTTTTTTGCAATAATCTAATGAATTACCTCATTCTGATTTTCTGTAATCTATAAACCACAATCAAACAAACAAACAAAAAAATGCCAGTGTCAAAAATTAGTTTGGTTTGAATTCTTTTAGAAAAATCAATTTCATTTTGGTGAACTGTTGAAATGTCTAAAACGGCCACAAGAGGGCAGTAATCAGAGGTATTGGATCCATAAATAGGCCAATAGGTGTTCAGATGCCTCTGAGGCATATATGGCCGCCCCGACACTCCATATCATCTGGTTGCATTTTGAGAAGAAAATGATCCGACCCGACTTGATGCAAATACGACCCAAATCATCAAGTGTTCGTCTGATGACGCAGCATCACCAGACGGTCATGCAACTCGGAAACGTCGTTGAAGCCATGAAGCTTTATGCTGGATTAGAACGAGAAATACAAAACAAATTACGGTCTTTTTCCAATTGTTTATGTAAAAATCAATCTGGGATGTCATTCTTATACATTTTTCTGTAAATTACTGTCTTAAGTGATCCTATTTTTATAGTTTTTCCTGCTGAGGTTTTTTATCATATTACTATTTTTAAGCATGTGTTCTAACTCCAAACTAGCCAATAAAGGCATCAAAGATATTCCTGGACACAGTTGTGTCTTATGAGACGGACACAACTCTGGGTAGTTCTTACATGGGAGAATTACAGAGAAATCCAATATCCCAAGCTCTGGACATTTTCCAAAGCTCTGGACCGACTGCAGACCTACCAAGACATGGACGTCCATCTAAAAGGGAGCGTTAATCAAACAAGCAACCAAGAAGGTGCTGTGGTCAGACGAAACAGAAACTAAGCCTTGTGGCCAACACACCAAACGCTGTGCACCGCACAGCATCCCCAGGTGAAAACATGGTTAATTCCTCACAAGTCATCTTCTGTCGGGGCAAAGATTGAACAGTTAGAATGGCCTAGTCAAAGTCTAGATTTGATTCCAGTTTAAAATCTGTGAGAAAACTTCAAAATCAATGTTCACTAATACTAAGCGTGAGCTATTTTACAAAAAGTTGTATAAAATTCCTGTCTGTAGCTCTTCAGACACCTGCAAGTTTAGTGGAACGTGTTTCTAAAAAGTGCTGATTTTTATTTGTAAAAACAATAAAAAACATGTAAAATTCCATTAAAATACATTGAAAAATGTGCAAAAGTTCATGCATGTTTCATGACATTTACTGAAGCATTTGCTCGTCTAAACAAGAGGTGGCGCTTTAGCAAATCTCCTGGTTCTGCCGTGTAAGATTGGGTCTAAAAACTGAGCCTTCAGAACATAAGGTCTCATTTGGCGCTGTTGCATCAGTTGATTGTTTCTGTCCTGGAGAAAAACCCGTTGCTCCCCGGTTATGTTCCCCTGTCCTGAAACAACAGCAGCAGCAGCAGCGCCATTTTACTGGCATGCAGAATGACTAATGCTGCTCTGCAGAGGAAACACTGAGTGCCTCTGCAGATCCATCAGCCCTCCCTGAACTGAAACGTCCTACAGCTCCAAGGCACACGAAGCAGAATCGTCTCCCTGCTCCATCCTCTTCACTGAAAACATCAGAGCGAGAAAGCGAAGGGGCCTGATGAGGGACGATAGCCAAAATAAAACAGGCTCGCTTTCATTTCTCTCTGGTTTTAGTCTGGAAAGAATCTATTTTTGGTCCTGCTGAAAAGTGGCCATGTTTGCGCTCTCATTATTTGGCTCAATTTAGAAGCAAACACTAAACCTCACCACTTTCTATTTATATGAAAATAATTGAGTAGATTCTTAATAAAACCAGGCTTAAAGTTCAGCCCTTATCATTTTGATAACCGACTTGTTCTGAAGTGTAATTCTGGTATTTTCTCCCCAATTGGATCCGATTCTCCTGACTTATCTCTAAATGGGTCACTTGCCTCAGTAACCAATAAGTCAGCAGATAAATTGTCTACAACAGTTCATCCAGAGGGGAAATTTGTGCATTACTTTGATTCAGGCTCAACAACGACACAAAGACGTCGGAACAGGCGCTTAATGAGTTGGCTAATTAAATCTGTTGTTACATAGCCCACCCTAAACCCCCCGAGCAGCGGATTCAAGCGATGCCTGTTGGTGTTCAGTTATCTGCACTCTTTCTGATTGTGTGGAAACTTTTACACGCTCTCCTGGAATAACAGCGTGGAAATAAGAGATTTCCAGACCAATCGCCTGCATATAAAGTTAAACCCAGATGTTTCTATACACTGTATAACAACATTCATTGCCATTTTATTGCTATCTTAGATTAAGTCAAACGAAACTAGTCTTGCTTTAGCTCAATTAGAATTACCAAATTATTTTTTTAATTCAGACATTTACATCAGACATTTCTCAGTATTTGGTAAAATCATCTTTTAATCTATCTGACTTGGCTCAAACGTTCCACAATCTTCCCACAATAGTTTGCTAAAGTTCTGGCCCATTCCTCCTAACAGTGCTGGTATAACTTGATTGGACTCATCTTTCCATATCTGCCCACATATTTTCTACTCAGCTGAGATCATGGATTTGTATCGGAAGCTCCAACACATTAACTTTATTGACCGGAAGCCATGTTGTAGTAATGTGGTGTTATGCTTAGCTTATTGTCACACCTGACAGTCTGGTAGTTTTGGTTCGATTTGGGACCAAAATTGCATTTTCAGTTGCTACGGTTCACTTTCTCTCTGCCTGGTGCCAAACAGACCAAACCCTAAAAAAAAAAAACTACTGAAGGAAAAAACCTCAACTTCCTCCTTCATGAAATGTAAACAAAAACGGAGTGGCATCAGAATTTAGTGATTGCTTAATTTTTGTTTTGGCTTTGGTAAAAAACCACAAGTAATTTCTCCCACTAGTGCTAGACACACACAATTGCTTTGGTTGTATTCATCCAGAAAGTCGTGGGCTGTAGTTTGCTTCCGTCTCTTGGAACATTCACAACACTCCAGAGGTCACTGTTTTGGTCCGCATCAGAGTTCAGCAAACTGGACTTTCTAGACAAACGAACTAGAGTTTGATTATAGTCAACTAAAAAGGGCTGGTGCATCATTGTACTTTTTGGAAGACCAGATAAAGTAATGCCATCTATCTTGCAAAGTGCACCAGTCCTTGAAGCAAAATACCTGCATAACACAGTGGATCCACTACCATAGTTAGGAGTTAGGTGGTGTTTTGGGGCTTGTAGGCTTTTTCCTTCCTTCTTCCTCCACTTTGGACGATGGGCTTCATTGTTTTAGTTCCATCAGATCCAGGGACGTCTCTAAAAAGTGCATTTGCAAACTGCAGTGGCTTAATCCTTACTAAGTGACTTATGAGCTAATGCTCGTAAATAATTATGTGGATAATGATGCAGAACCCGACTCCTTCCAGAACAACAAGACAGCTGAACGTTCTCATGGTGTTTATACTGGCAGTTGTTTGAACAGACCAATGAAGAACTTTCAGATTCATGATTTACTTGTTGACTTTTTGGCTGGTTGGTTGTCATCTTTCTATGATGACATGCAAAAAACCAACATGTTTGAGGAGTGACTTTAAAAATGTCCACATGCTTAATTTAAACCTTTCAAAAGCTTACAAAGTTCTGAAATCAACATCTGGGCTTGTCCAAATACTTTAAGACATCTTAGTGTATGTAAACATCTGAATTTAAATAAAATAAACCTAAGAAAAACTCTTAATGCTTTAATGTTAATAATCCTTGATCTGAAACAAGTAGTTTAGTCAAAATGTTTCTGTTTATACAGTTCACATAAACGTGTTTGACCTGGATTTGACCAAATGAGGCTGTTTTTTTTTTGTTGCTAGCATTACCGGCTAAATGCTGCAGCTTTGTGTCATCGACTAGAATAGGAAAGGGGTTTTATTTGGCCCGATAATATGGAGTAAACTGTCCCTTCAGTGGCAGATATGTGGGATCAGTGCATCTTTATAGCAGGAGAGGTTAAGCTGCACGTTGTAAGCTCTTATAACAGGAGGCACTTTAGTCAATTCTATAACGAGACGGGCTTCAAGGCACTGGAAGCTGATTTTTAGATATATACTCTACGAGCTTTGTTCAATATTATACTTTTTCTTCTTCAAACTAAGAAAAATGGGCTCACAAATTAAATTAAACGTTCCCATGCACTCAGTTGTCAAAGCTTTAAGGAAATACAAAAAGGAGGAAAAAACTTAAAAGTAATTGTTTTTTAAGATTTCTTCTGTTTTAAGCACATTATTTCCTTCTAACTGTTTCCTCCGTCATGCATTTTTCCACGGAATAACTTAACGGGAATCATCGTCTCCCCTCCGTTTTCCCGCACTCCATCCGAAAACTGCAAGCAATTTAATACTGACGTCATGCATTGAGTATACGTAGCTATATCATAGCTGTTTAGGCCATAATGCTGAAGTATTTTGACATGCCGTGATCTCTGAAGAAATAAATGTTGCTGTTCTCCTTAAACATTCAAGACGGAAATGCTCTGAAACAACTTTGACGATAAACAGCCAGAGCACTTCTGGTGAAAACAAAACATAATCCAGGAGAAGAGGATGAGGGCTGAAGAAGACAACAGCAAAAATAAAATGAGGTAACGTTGTGTGCATGCTGATATAAAAGAGAAGAGTCTCCACATGCGTTTATATAAAGGAGCTTTGCATGGCATCAAACAGGGACCCTTCAGCTGACCTGCAGCAGCATCGGTGCAGATCGTCCCTCCACAAAGGCTCCACAAACTTCCTGTTTGCTTCTCTTAAAGTGCCTGAAAAATTCGCCATGTAATGTTTTTTTCTCAATTTTTCCTGGATGTGCTGCAGAAAGCACAAACGTCCGTAACTGTAATCCAACTGTCGTGGATAAAGTTGTTCTTGTGAATCTCAGATGGGCTTTCATCCACAAAGTTGAGTCTGTTGCACCAAACCAGGCAGCTGTCCCTTTTCACCAAAAATGTTTCGTCCAGTTTTATTGTTTGTCCTCCAATTAAGTCCTCAGCTTTCTTATTTTATGTATTCAGTTTAAAACACTTATTATTAATATTTAATATGAATTTCCTAAATGTTTTAATGTGTTTAAGTCAATATAAAGTGCTTTAATAATTTGAATAAACCAGAATTCTTTTCACAAATGTTGGATTTGTGTTACTCAGCTGTTAAGAGCTGGAGCATCTAAAATGTTATAAATTAATACATACTAAAACAAAAGGAGATGGCAGTGAAATGTTGTAGTAAATAGGTTTAAAGTTATACTCCAATTACAGCAAATCTTTGCATGTTATTAATGAGGCACTCCATCAATTTAGTATTGCACATTTAGGAATAAAAAAGCAATTGATTAGTGAACACTGAGTCGACACAGACTGAAATACCCCTTTTTTAGTTAATGGGCATATAATAAGAGTACTACATTTCCCAGAGATCAACTTGGTCTTTAAAACATGCATCTATTGTAATACTACATTTTTATTATAAGATACATGTTTTAAACCATGGCAGAAAAGCTGTCAGAGTGTGAATCATAAGTAATGCATGTAAAGTGGTGGCAGGATTATTGTTTTTTGTTCATAATTTTTTTTTTATTCTGCATTTCTTAAACTTGAGATATATTTTTGTATTTTTCTAAAACAGTTTCTAAGCTTTTCGGATGGGATTTTAATATTATTGGGGTCGTTTCCACAATACAAAAACATGCTTCTGCACCAAAACTTATCAGCTGCATGTCTGAGACTGGCAGTGTGAATACATTTGCCATATTAAAGATCAAATATTAAGTGACAGGTAACATGTTTTTTAGTGAATAAAACCAGGACCCATTTCATCCACAACTATGACTTCTATAATTTAATTCTGTAGGTCTCTGTCCATGAATGGGATGCATTTAGGAAATTCACCAAATGTCAATCTCCTGGAGCTGGGTTATGAAAATCTTTGGCAGCTTGTCTGGGATACAAAAATAGGTTTTCTAGCACCCCAAACATTCCTGCAGACAAAAGAATTAAAGTTAGCTATCAATAATTGGCTGTGTAACCTCCTTAGTTGTATAAAGTACATTTGGTGGTTTAAATCCAAGAATTTAAGATTAGTATTATTTGAATTCTTGTCCAGGATTCAAATTCAGAACCCATTTAAACCTAGTTTTTGTCTCTGGACAAAATGGACTGAGGTTGTTAAGATGTTGGGCTAATACCTTTAATTTGATGGAAAAAAAAATTATATGAATTATGATAAATTTATTGTTTTCTTGCATGGCCTAGTTTTCAAATAATTGGGGTTTGTGTGGGATACAATGTAGAACTTCTAGGTCACCTACTATGTCATTTAATGTCTGAAGTTGGCAATGAAACACCCTTAAATTAATAATAGTACAATGATTAGAGTACTAATCTGGGGACAAAATTTTTTACTCTTACTTAAATGGGTTCAGTATGTATAAAAGTAGTGGAATAACCCCATAACAAAAGAAATTGACCTGAAATATACCTCTGGTCCAAAATAATTGAGCTAATGAGCAAGGTAACCTATTTTATTTTATGTTACTCCACACACTTTAAAGATCAACTAGAAAACATGATATTGGTTTTTATCTCAAGTAGTATAATTAATTGAATATTGTCCGGTATACCTAACAAAAGTCTCTAAAGTTTGCTCTTGAACCGAACAGATTAAGCATCTTAAATTGATGGAGCAACCCCTACAGATTATAAAATGTAGAAAATTCAGGGTTTTATTTATTTATTGGAGTCAGATTATTGGGGGCTTGTCCGGAATAAAAGACACACCTGCATCCTGTCACTGGTTCAAAAGAATTGAATTTGCTATGTAAAACTGGCAGTGAAACCCGTTAAATATTTTGGAATGGATACGAATATTTAACTAAACTTTTTGCTAAGATCTGCTCAAGATTGCTTCACTATGTGTGTTTTAGTTTGTTCATACGTTTGAAAGAAGAGTTTAAAAAAAGAGAATAAAATGCACCTATTGAGTTTAAAGCATCCAGATATTTCTACAATATTTACAGCAGTGTGCAGGCGCTGCCTTACACATCGGTGAGCAGCTTCCCCCTGTTCACACAGTTCTGGCTGGGGGCGGTGCAGTTGGCAGTCCTAAGGTTTGCTTCCCTAAAGTTATCAATGCTGTTGTTCAAGTCCTCATCTATCTCCATATACTCTGACTTGCTGACCACAGAAGAAGTGCGGCGGCTTGAGTTGGTTTCTGATGCCAAGTTCTGGTTGCTGATGTTGAGCAGCTGTGCTTGCTCCTCACCCTCCGTCTCCCGGTGGTAGAAGTAGTTGAAATTGGACACAATGACCGGTACTGGCAGTGCGATGGTCAACACACCGGCGATGGCGCAAAGAGAACCAACAATTTTACCTCCGATGGTCACGGGGTACATGTCCCCATAGCCGACGGTCGTCATGGACACCACAGCCCACCAGAAGGCATCCGGGATGCTGGTGAAAAATGACTCCTTTTCCTCAGCTTCAGCAAAGTAAACGGCACTGGAAAATAAAATCACACCAATGAAGAGGAAGAAAATGAGCAACCCCAGCTCCCTCATGCTTGCCTTGAGAGTTTGCCCCAGAATCTGGAGCCCTTTGGAGTGTCGGGACAGTTTAAAGATCCGGAATACCCTCACCAGACGGATCACCCTGAGAATGGCTAAAGATGTGGCCTGTTCCCCTCCTCCCCTTCCCTCCCTGTTGCCTTGGTCGTCAGCTAGCTCTGTGCCAAGAGTGATGAAGTATGGGATTATAGCCACAATATCAATAGTGTTCATCATGTTTTTGAAGAATGCTGCTTTGCTGGGGCAAGCAAAGAAGCGAACGATCAGTTCAAATGAAAACCAGATGATGCAGAGTGTCTCCACCACAAAGAAAGGATCTGTCAGGACGCTTGCCTTGTAATACATGGTGGTGTTGCCCACTTGGTGAATGCGATCATTGGGATCCTCCTTTAGCTCCGGTAAAGTCTCCAAACAAAATATGACGATTGAAATAAGAATTACCATCACTGAGACAATGGCGATCCCCCGGGCGGGCCCCGAACTCTCTGGATGCTCAAAGAGGAGCCAAATCTGCCTCTGGAACTCCTTCTCTGGCAAAGGTCGCTCCTCTTCCCGGATAAATCCCTCATCCTCCCTAAATTTCTCCATAGCTTCTGCACCAAGTTCATAAAACTTTATCTCCTCTGAGAACATGTCCAGAGGGACATTAACCGGCCTCCTCAACCGACCTCCAGACTGGTAATAATACAAGATGGCGTCGAAGCTCGGACGATTCCGATCGAAGAAATACTCATTTCTTAAGGGGTCGAAGTAGCGCATCCTCTTCTTGGGGTTCCCGAGCAGCGTGTCAGGAAACTGGGCGAGAGTCTTAAGTTGGGTCTCAAACCGCAACCCAGAGATGTTGATGACCACCCGCTCACAGCAGTCGTGATCATTGTGGTCATCGTCAAGCGGGTAGGGGTCCTGCGGGTGGCCCGGCAGGGTGGAGGTGTCGTCCATGTTTTCCGTGGACACCACAGTCATCCTTCCTGGGGGGTGATGGGCAGGAAGGGGAAGCGGCGTGTAGGTGGTGGGGGCAGGTTGAAGTGGAGAGGCTCCTACAGATGCCAGGAGATGCGCAGAGCCTCCCTCCCTATCACCATCATCATCCTCATCATCGCCATCGTCTCTGAACTGAACGTTCCCTCAGTGGTCCCTCGTCTCACACCTGGAACAGAGTGGAAAATAACACCCAGTGTCCTCAGAAAAGACACTAAAGCTCGCCTGGAGACATTTCTCAACGCAAGCTTCTGTCCTGAAAGGACGCAGCACCTCCAAAAGCGTGTGCTGCATCTGCTGGATTTTACCGCATACATCAGTATTCAAGTTTGCAGCCCTGCTGCACTGCCTCTCTCTGCACCCACAGTTCTCACTCATCCAACAGCTTCCCACTCAAACAAGCATTTACGCATCCACACAACAAACAGAGCAATAAAATCTCCTCTGAGTGATGGACATCAGAGATGAGATGTACCTGAGTTTGGAGCGCAGCAGATAGAACTGATCGTCCTCTCCAGCCACCCACCTCAGCTCTGGCTTTAATACCAGCAGATATCTCTTTACAATGTCTCTGAAATATTAATAGACTATGTTGTCTTGGTCAACATCCGTATCCTCTTGGTGTTGGTTTTCAGCACCAGTCGGTGCAGCCCGCAGGAGGAGGAGGAAGAGGAGGAAGAGGAGGAGGCTTTTGACGGCTCTGAACGCAACAGCAAAAATCCCGACTGACTATTTCTTAAAATCATACTGGAAAACAAGGAGGAGGAGGAGGAGGGAGAGGAGGAATAATGAGCTGGACGAAGCTCACATTCTGACGGGAAGGATCGGACTTTGCTGCATCAAGAGAAAACCACTTTAAAAAAATCCTGGTGAGGAAGAGGAGGGAAAATGAGGCAGAGGATCCTGCTGCGGAGACCCGATATGTGTCCGTTAATTTGGAAGCATATTGCAGGATTTCATGAGGAGAGGAAAGAGAAGTGAGTGAAGCAGGAAAGGAGGGAGCGAGAGAAAACAGGGAGGGGAGGAGGGGAGGATTCGACGCAATGCAGACACACTGTACAGCACAGAGAGAGAGCTACAGTAGCGGCTGCGTGTCAGCAGAAACAGCCGCACGACTCCCGGCGGGGAAAGTTCTCCTGCTGGGAGCCGAAGGAATAGACTTCCCGGTGAGGAAAACACTGAGGGACGCTTTGTGCTCAACCTCATTCTCCTGCAGGTGTCAAACAGTCCAGATCTGACATGGAAAATCAGCCCAATCAGAACTGACCCATGAGTCTTTCAGAACCAGCACAAAAACAACATTTATGTAGAAAAATATTAATGAAACCCTGGTTCTGTGTTTTTAGAATAAAATAATTGAGTCAGGTATAAAATGTGCTGCTGTGGTTCCAAACAGAGATGCTGATAGGAGGCTGTGATGCAGGAGGCCCAGCCCATTTCTCAATCAGTTATATATTAAAATATATAGAATAAAAAAATATTTCAAAAAATTTAGAAAAACAGCATGAAAACTAAACCGATAATTCAAATAAATGCAGTGATTTTGAGATCTTATATGTGACATTTTTTTAACAGATTCTTATGTATTTTTTAAATACGTTGAATATGTATATATATTGACAGTCCGGTGATGCTTAATTGCTTATGCTATAGCAAATAGATTTTTGAGATTTTTTTTTCTTCCAACTACTTTTTTAATTCAAAATTTTTGTGAATATTAATATGTTGCATGTTCATTTAAACTGTAAATTTAATAAGCAAAAATGACAAATACTTTACATGAGGATGCCGGATGATGCATCAAAGCTACTTTTGGTCATTCGTTGGCTCATTTCTGGGCTTAATAATAACTGAAATAATATTTGTAGTTTTTCACACTTTTAAAGAGTGAAAATGCCTAAAATGTAGTTAATATTTAATATAAATATGGATGTAAATTTGAAAAATATTTATGTATAGCAATTTATTTTTAGAAAGGTGACTTTTTTGTAAAACAATAAGATTTTAAAACTTCCTTTAAGGGTATATAATTGTGTAAACATGTAGAAATAATTTTTAAATGAAGTTTCTGCCTTAGTACACTTTCAGATATCCAGGAACTGCTTGGTATATTCTGATATAAGCTTTGGATGACAAACCTGCAGTCTGGAAATACTCTGAGCTGAAGTTGAGGCTTATTCTGGGAAGCTGCAGCTTTATCTCGTTTCTGCAAACCAAGAGATGAACTTCAAGTCCTTCTCTGCATGTTGGAGCTTTAACATGGATTAATAATTCACCCCAATCTCAATAAATTAAACCTCTTGCATTTAACAGTTTAAAATTAGCATGAGAAAAGATGTAGTGGCACGGAAAGCCCCGCACAGTTGAGACTTTATGCATATTTTTTATTGATGTGATGCTCAGTCACTGTAGTGCTAAAAAAAAATAAAACCCTTCTTTCATCCACACTATCCAGGATAATGCTACCACCACCGTGTTTTCCTGTTCCTTTGCTGATAGTGTATACATAGTGTATTAAGTTTGGTTGCGAACACGGTTTCTCATACGATTTTTGCATTATTTGAGCAACGCGCGGATGTTTCCTTGAATAAAGTGTTTGTCAGATTTCTGTGGAAGTGAAAATTAAAACGCGTTTACACTGAGTGTAACAAAATATCTGCGAATCAACTGGCTGACTGATCGAGGGGAATGTTCAGCACGTCCTTGTCCGGGGATGAAAGGTGACCGCTCTATATTTGGTCCAGCACTCGTCACTCCGAGTGTCCAACAGCTGGCCGAGCTTCTGCCACGCGGCTGCACCCACAACATTCCTCAAAACTGAATTCACAGCGTTCCGCTGGGACAAAAGTAGAAGTATCTATGACTAATTTTCAAATTTATAGTTTGGAGAAATAAATCTTTTGTCCACTATTCATTTGCAGAATTGCTGAATTCAACCACCTTGGAGGGTTTTCCTTATCAAATGATCTATTTAAAAATTTAAATCAGAATTTTGACCTAACTGACTAGGAAATCTCCATTTTATTTATTTTTTTGGAATCATTTCTGAAAACAGTACCTCAGTGAGCTTGATGTTAATGTCACACTTTAATGTGACCTTAATGTCATAATAAGCTGTCAGCTAGATGGAAAATTTATGGATCTATCAACTAAAGCAAGAACTGCTGTTTTTGACTGTCAATATATTGTAATTCTGAAATGCAGTGTTGGTTTTAAGCCAGGTGTAACAGGTCAAACATGTAACAAGGTGTGTTCACACCAGAACTATTTAGTTCGCTTTAATAGAACTCCAGTTTTTGTCTAGAAAGTTCCATTCGTTTGAGGAGATCTGAATGCTAATCGAACTAAAAAGTGAACTCTGGTCCACCTACGCACCTCGGTGTCAGTTCAGTTAAAAATAACTCTGTTGTGGTTTGAATGCATGTGTGAACATCCAGCGAACTGGAGACTGCGCCAACAGCAGGAAGCAAACTACACCGCAGGGTATTCTGGGTAAATACAACCAAAACAAATGTTCTAGCCTCGCGCTAGCGGGAGAAATGACCCGCGAGGGTCATTTTTGATGCCAAATTTGATCACGGCTAAAATTTGATGCCACTCCTTTTTTGTTTACATTTTGTAAAGAAGAAAGATGGTTTTAGTGTTTTCAGAGTTTTTTTTTGTGTTGTTTCCTTGAGTGATTATTGGTGCAGCACCCCCACAGGCGAGGAGGGAAATAGATTTCTCAAATGGTTAGGTTCATTTGACTCAGTGGAGTGGGAAACCAAACCGCAGCAGCTGAAAATAAAACAAATGTGTCCATTTGTGTCCCCAATCAAATCGACTCTACTGGGCTCTTCCATCTGGGCCAGACTTTCAAAAGGGGCCTAAGGGCCCCAAGAGACCCCAAGGGACCCAAAAATATTTTATTTTCAGTTTTTTACAAATGCATATTTTGTGAGCAAACTCATAGGAAACTCAAAAACCCAAGATTATAAAGTCAAAATACATCCTTTAGCATGAAGCCATCTGCCAGACATTTGAAACCAACAAGTCATTAATTTGTTTATTAATGTGTTGATGCACCTATACTTTAATAGGTGTAGGTGCAAATTCACACATGTATTTTACATGTGTGAAATGTATTTATGGTGGATATGGGACCAAAAGCGGCTCCTGCCCTGCCTACTATAATTGAGGGACATGTTTAGTTGTTTCTTTGCATCATTATTTATTTTTGCTATTTTGCATTTTTTGTCTTGCTCCCTGCGTCTGTATTTATCATAATTAGTGTTTTTGCTGAGCTCTCCTGGTTCTGAAGCGTTCGGTTGGAGGGGAGTCACAGCTGATGACGGTAGTTTCTAAACGCTGGGGATCAGAGCAGCTGGACAGCACCTGCTCACACTCAGCTGTGAAGGGAAGCATGACGACATGTGAAAACTTGACAAGGTGGTGGAAGAGAACATCTGAGCGCCCCAGACCGACAATGTGCTGAACACACATATTCACGCGCCGCACAGACACTCACTATGACCTCATTTCCAGTCAGATGATCCGGTCGGGTCGCTGCTCTACAAAAGAGAGGCTTACTCTGCTTTAACCGGCCGAGTTTCGGGTTACAGCTGCTGAAACTAAAGATAGACGCCTGAAATCCCTGAAAACAAACGGAAACTCTAAGGTTGTAAAACATCGTCACATAAAACCTGGAAGATAGAGTTAAATGTTCCTTAAAAATTAAAGTTTATTGCATTGTTATGGCATTGGCGTTATGTCACTTAAAAATGGTGTTAAATTAACCATATTATTGTTTTTCTCAATAAATTCTGGGACAGTTTAGTGTCCAGTGAGATTTGTTATGGTGACATGTTGCTTTCTGGCTTCTTATTCTCCTGCTGCATTAATTGTTAACGCATAATTACATAATTGTTTGTGGATTAGATTCCAGTGTTTCCAGTGTCATGTTTTAATGGTTTGGGCTGTTCTCCTTCAGATGAGCAGCAGAGGGGAGGAAGAGGAGGAGGAAGAGGGGCTGCTTCTGCTTCATGCAAACCGGCGAGGCATCCCCCATGGCAACACGCAGCCCTGTCATCTCCTGCCTGGATCACTGAATCAGGGGCGACACACTCATTAAGCCCTTTTCCCCCTCTTCATCACTCCCCTCTTCCTCTCTGCTGCCATCATCTCGTCCTCCTTACTCCGTCATCTCTTTGCTCGCGGCTCTGCCCAGAAAAAACCCCTGGAGGCCGAGCGGGAAGGCGTGCAGAAGGTGATGGGAGAAAAATCAGATGGTGGTTGTTAAATATTAATCTGATGAAGATGCTGCAGGAGTACAAAGAGCAGATGTTGAATCAGAAGATGGAAAGTAACTCAGGGAGGTGGAGTTAAAAATCCACTTCAGTGAGACCAAACATGACCACCGGACCAGCGAAGAGAAACCACATGAATGTGTTTCAAAGCTGCAAAATAATTTTTTATTAAGTAAGTTTACTTTGTAAGTTTTTAATGAAATCCAGTTGGTGGGTCATTTACTGACGTTTCCAGTTCGGATGGAATTACCATTGCAAAGATTCTCTGTGATTATTGCAAATATAGAGTTCCTACAAGTCTGAACAGGAAGTGATTCGCTCCACTGAGCCACCATCTTGGTAGGCAAACGGAGCGCAGCATGTGATTCCCAGGTAGAACTAATACCATGTGACTATGTAGCTCTCATGTGATGTCACATTCCCAGGAGGAATTTAGCTCACAGCCATTTTAGAAGATACTGTAACTAACTGTCATGGCAGTTCCTATGGAGTTGCTATATCAACAATAAACAAGTTACAAGCTTAGAACTGGCTCTCACCTCGTTCCTATCTAACTTGTAAACAATATATCACTTGATTACAATCTATATGATCTCCACCCACCTTAGACTTAGACTTTCTTTATTGTCATTGTACAAAAAAAACACAAGGTGAATCTTGACAACGAAATGTAATGCGAAGATAAATATCTATGATGTTTACTGTTGTACTTGCATCCGAACTAGCAATATAAGCTTAGTTGATGCAGCTTTTATCTGCTAGCTAAGACAGCCACGTAGCCGGCGTGTTTGATACTACATCTACTTTCTTTGCCAGTTACCAGAATCTTGTTATTCTCACGAAGAGTTTGTACTTCCTTCACTAAGCCGTTTAAACATTCATTGTATGCGTCCATGGATTTCAGACTGCGAAGCTCCTGCATGGTGTACACACAAGCACAACAGGGATAGTAAGAGACTGGAGGCAGCTTCGTCTAACATGTTTCCATTTTCCACCTCATACGGGTCGATCCTGACAGCAGCCACTGTGTCTACATATATTGCTCTTGCACATTGGTCAAGAGA